TGTATGCAGGATGTGGAGTCCCAGTTTATGCTTTGCCCCTGGACAGCAGATTATCTCTCACAGGCCCTGCCAAGACTATCTTCTGCCTTTTAAGACTGGCAAAGAGAGGATTTCTTCCTTGTGAGGCTTTCCACTATTCAGTTTCCATACCTACCTTTCTAAAGCCAGTGTGAAGCTTTTCCTAGACAAACTTTCACCTCCCTCACTTGAAGCTGTTGGCAGATGGTCCATTGTTTAGAATTAAGCGGTTAGGATGGTCATGAGGATGACAACATAGCGTTTCAGGCAATGACTGGGAAGGCTTCCACATTGCTGCCAAATTTCATCTTATGTCATTACAATGAGGGTTTTGTGTTCTAAAATTGTATTTGTTGGGGAGAGCCTTCTTTCAACTGTTAACAAGAACCATCTTAGTCCCAGCATACAACTTGGAGAGACAGTGAGGGAGAAAGAACACAAATTAAAGTTTTTTGAATAAGACTTCAATCTGCCTTAGGACTGTAACTACCTTGCCACAGAGAAGGGAAATTGTGCAATTCTCTGACGCTTGTTGTCATTGTGCAGCGCATGAAAATTACCTCTTAAATTCCAAAACATATTTTTCCTCCAACAATGGTCTTTAGTGTAAGAAACATAGCCAGCCTTCTTATGTAATGACTGGGTCGTCAGCAGATGCAGAAAGAGTCTTACCTTTACGTCTTACATAGTGCATTTGCACTTAACAATGTAAAAAGAAACCACAAGATTGTTTTTAAAAATCTAGATCACTTAATTTTTAAGTTAACAGGAAACAGAAGATCCTTATGCTCAATAAAGTAACTTTCCAGGTGTCCCTATTTTTGTCATGAGAGAGCGAGAGAATAATAATAATAAAAAGTATGTGGAAAAGGACACCATTGTATTCACATGCCTGTGGTGGAATATGTATGTTAGAAAGTTGATTTTAGAAAAGTACATCCCTTTCCAGAATGCAGAGTTCAGAAATGTATTAAAGTCAATCCCCAGACTTATTTTGGGGCCTGCTTAGGCCTAAATGTAACACAAACAAGCGAAAGGAAAGTGAAATTAAAGGAAAGCAAATGCTTTGCCGCTAACTGCTTAATTGGGGAACATATTGCAATGCAATGGTGGGCTTAGTTTGAAGATACTTATGCTGTCCTGGGAGGCATTTGCTTTCAGGACATCAAAACCTGAATTCAGGCATCATCCAAACTGAAAAATGTCATGTCAGCCCTCATGTCAAGAGTTCTTTCCTCTTTTGTCAAACTCGTATTAGTTACAGAGGAACGAGATCTTTGCATATAATTTCCTGATAGAAATGTAGAAGCGAGTGAAACTCATTCCAGCAGTCAACTCCTAAGGAGCCAACTCCTAAGGGCCGAGAGGTCTTTGGGGCCCCCAATAAAATATTTGAGGGAGCTGCCGCCCAAATTGATGGGCATTGCCATTCAAATGGTGTCCGTGCTCCATGTTTTGTTGTTGTCTAGTCGTGTCCGACTCTTCGTGACCCCATGGACCAGAGCACGCCAGGCACTTCTGTCTTCCACTGCCTTGGTCAAACTCATGCTGGTAGCTTCGCGAACACTATCCAACCATCTAGTCTTCTGTTGTCCCCTTCTCCCTGTGCCCTCCATCTTTCCCAACATCAGGGTCTTTTCCAGGGAATCTTCTCTTCTCATGAGGTGGCCAAAGTATTGGAGGCTCAGCTTCACGATCTGTCCTTCCAGTGAGCACTCAGGGCTGATTTCCTTCAGAATGGAGAGGTCTGATCTTCTTGCAGTCCATGGGACTCTCAAGAGTCTCCTCCAGCACCATAATTCCATGTTATGTGATCGATTATGCAGGGCAGGGCTTACTTGACTCTCCCCCCAATATTTTATTCAAGTTGGCACCCCGACTGTAAATTTGCTAGTCTTGAGATGTACCTCAGGATTCTTTGTTGTTATACACGTAGTACAGGATTGGGCACTTAGGCTTGCCGCCCATCACGTTTGTGATACACTATGTAGCGTATATACCTGTGCGTGTTGATGTATATGCCATTTGTGCTATCCTCTCTTTCTATATTTTTAGGGTTCACTTAAGTCTATAAGAGCCCACCTATGGCTTGACGTTATCTTACCAAATCAAGCTACTGCGGGATTCTTGTCATGCAAGAAGTATGGCCGTATGACTAAACTTCGGCTGCTATTTCTGAGTGCTGAGATATTTAGGATTCTGCCAAAGATAACAAATAATTGCTCTGGATTCTATGTTTAGGAAGAGGTCAGCAGCCACGCTGATTCACAGGCCTAATTCATGCACAGACCCTCTGTAGTTGTAGTAGGAGTAGGGGATTCACGAATGGTTTACAGCCACAATATGCCAGCCTTTTGTGTCTGCATGGATGATTTGCTTGCTCTTCCTTCTGTCCCTCGGTTTGACAGGGGGACATGAATTCCCTGCTTTGAACCATAAAGTGCAGCGAGGTGGTTTAAGCTGGAATGTTTCCATGTGATTCTCTATCCTATCTTGCATTTAAATTCTTCCTTGCGTGCCATCAAGTGGTCTGTAAGTGATGATCAGGACATATGTCCAGTAAGGGGAAGCTGTGATCCTTCAGATGTTGTTGGAAGATAAATCTATATTTATTCCAGGTAGCAACCATTTGCAGACATTGTTCATGTGAAGAGATCTCCCATGACATTAGGAAGTTTGTAAGAATTCAATAACTGATGGACCTTATTGCATTTATACTTGGGGCAAGCTGTAACAACCCTAACCCCCCCCCCACTCTACAAATGAAACCAAACCAATATAAGAACATATGAATAGCCTCCTTGCTCCGGCCAGTAGTCCATCTAGTCTAGCATCCTGTTCTCACAGTGGCCAACCAGATGCCTATACGATATGATACAATAATCTTTCTTGTCATTGTCCCATCCAGAACAACGAAATTGAAAAATCTACATAAGACATTCAAAAACCAACAAGCCTGCTATCCCAGCTATCCCAACCTGATTAGCCCCCTAAAAACTCTGATACCCCATTTTTAAATACAATATACTCCCATAGAGACTCCTTAGGTAAAGGTAAAGGGACCCCTGACCATTAGGTCCAGTCGTGACCAACTCTGGGGTTGTGGTGCTCATCTTGCTTTATTGGTTGAGGGAGCCAGCGTACAGCTTCCGGGTCATGTGGCCAGCATGACTAAGCCACTTCTGGTGAACCAGAGCAGCGCACGGAAACGCCGTTTACCTTAGCGCCGGAGCGGTACCTATTTATCTACTTGCACTTTGACGTGCTTTCGTTGGCAACGCGCTAGGTTGGCAGGAGCAGGTACCGAGCAATGGGAGCTCACTCCGTCGCGGGGATTCGAACTGCTGACCTTCCAATCAGCAAGTCCTAGGCTCTGTGGTTTAACCCACAGCACCACCCGCGTCCCTCTAGAGACAACTTACACTACATTTAAAACCAAAATCGCATTTGGATAGAAACTGTTTCTCAGGCGGCTAATACTAGTTTTTATAACCCTGTACCTTCTTCCAGAAGGCAGAAGCTGAAAGAGATCATTTCCGGGGTGCGCACTGTCCTCCACTATGGGAAACCAGCGAGCAGAACATGAGCACAAGAGCCCTTTCCCCTCCTGTGGTTTCCAGGAAATGCTATTTGGAAGCATTGCTGCCTCTAGGTAGAGCGTGGTGATCCTGGCTAGTGGCTACCGATAGTCCTCTCCTCCATGAATTTGTCTAAACCTCTTTTCAACCCATTCAAGTTGGTGGCCATGACTGCCTCCTGGGGGAATGAGTTCCACAGTCTTGACTATGAAGAAGTGAAAACAAGATTTACATGCTATGCCGGCCTTCCCATACCTGGTGCCCTCCAGATGTTTTGGAACAACCCACCATACCATCCCCAGCCAGAAGAGCTGTGCTGGCTAGAGCTAATGGGAGCTGCAGGCAAAAACATCTGGAGGGAAGACCTTTATTGGGATCCTACTGCACAATAACTACCCAAGCACTGTCTGTATGTGTGTAAGTCTGAATAAAGCCCCAAACAGCTCGTTGTTCCTCGTTGGCATCCGTCTGCCTGGGAGGCAATGGAGAGGTGCGGTAAGTTTGTTGGAAGGTTGTAGCACCTGCGGTGGCTCTAGAAACAGATGCGGGAGAGACATATTTTATGTCATATACAGTGGTACCTTGGGTTACAGACGCTTCAGGTTACAGACTCCGCTAACCCAGAAATAGTACCTTGGGTACTATTTGCTTCAGGATGAGTACAGAAATCGCGGCGCGGTGGCAGCGGGAGGCCCCATTAGCTAAAGTGGTACCTCAGGTTAAGAACAGTTTCAGGTTAAGAATGGACCTCCAGAACGAATTAAGTTCTTAACCCGAGGTACCACTGTATATGGCTCCTTCAGATGGTAAAAAGAGGTGGGAACCATATGAGCCAACTCCTATGGGCCGAGGTCCCTTTGGCCCCCCAATAAAATATTTGAGAGGGCTACTCCCCCTCCAAAATTGATGGGCTTTGCTATTTAAATAGTGTGCATGCACGTGTCCAATTATGCAGGGCGGGGCTTACCCGATCCCCTCCCCCCAATATATTATACAAGTTGGCACCCCTGGTGGAAATCAACTTTTTGCATAGTCTCTCTTATCTTTTCGAAGCTGGCTTTAAAAGTAGGGGCTCCTTAAATCTCACCGGATTCCTTTATTTCAAGACGCGTGAAATACTGTGCCCTTTCTCTCCATAAAGGAGGAAATCTTTAAGTTGAGAGCTGGCCTGGCCCAAGGAAACTTCTTCCCTTGGCCGCGGACGGGGCTCCCCGTCTCCTTCCCTGGCCCCGGGGTCCAGGGGCGCCTCGGCCCCACCAGTGACAGAAAGCGACGGCGGAGGAATCTTCCGCTGCCGCCTCCGCCGGCAACCCCCGCGCGTCACCTCGCCGGGGAGGCCAAGCACACGCGCGCACACGCGGTGCGGGCAGCCCTTATAAATTCTCCCTCTGCCGGCCCAAGCCCGCGATGTTGCTCTCGGCCGGCGAAAGGGTCTCTCTCTCGCTAGGGCAGGAGCGGCGAGAGGGGCGGACCTGGGGCAGCGCTTCAAGCCGGGGAGGAAGAAGAAGTCCTGGGCAGCAGCAAGAAAGCACCTACTCGCGGGTGGAAGGTGCCAAGCAAAGGAGGAGGAGGAGAGAGGCTGCCTGGAAGACTCCCAACTCTTGCAGTCCACTCGAAAGGAAAAAAGAAAGAGGTTGGGGAAGGAGCAGCTCAGCTCGCTTGACTGTGTCTTGGGTTTTCCTCCTTCTTCTCTCCTTTTGTATTTTAATTGTGGAAGAGGAGGGAGCTCCTGGAGAAGTCGGGCAGCCAAAAGTAGCCAGAGGAGAAGAGGGAGACTAGCTGGCTGCTTGGGGAGCAGCAGGAGCAGCAGCGAGAGGAGCAGCCCGCGGGCCCGGGGAAAAGGAGGAGCAACTCCACGCGGGTGCAGGAGACGGCGGGGAACCCGGCGCAGCCACCTTAAGGCGCCCGGCCGCGCGCCCCTGGCACGGCTCGGCTGCTCCCCCGGCGTGCGCGCACACGCATCCATACAAACACGCACACACGTGGGCGCTTGCCGCCTCCCAGCGCGCTGGGGCGCCGGCCCCTCGACCAAAGGGGGAGCTGCGGACTGTCTCCGGCAGGAGGAGGAGGAGGAGGAGGAGGAGGAGGAGGAGGACCGGGGGGCGGCATCCCCCCTGGACGGGCTTCCCTCCGACTACCAGCCGGTGCCATCTCACTTGAGGAGCGCGAGAGCTCGTGGGAAGCCGGAGATCCGCGTCTCGGAAGCCCGCAGTTGAATTGGTGGCCAGTTGCCTCTCTCTTTCTCTCCACCCGCCCAAACCCCTTCAGCTCTCTAAGAAACTATTGACGTGATTATTATTATTATTATTTTTCTTTCGGGGTTTTTTTTTTTAATCAGTATCGCCCCTCTTCTCCTTTTTTCCTTCCTGGCGGAAGCGCAGCTACCATTGCTGATTTGCAATCTGTTTGCTCTGGTGGTAACAACCTGCTTAAAAAGAAAATCTTTGCAACCTGTTGCAGCTATTTTCGAAAAAAGAAAAACCGCTCATCAACCTGTTGCAGTTTTTAATAAGAAGCGACTGCCGGGTTGAACTTGCTGCTTCTGCTGCAACGCCACGGCTCCTTGCAATCTTGCGACCCAAATCCCAACATTTTGGAGGCCAGAAATCCGGTGCAAGCTACTGTTTGGACTAGCGATCTGTTGCATTCCTCCCCTCTCTCCAAAATCTATAATATATATATAAATTCTCAGCCTTATTCTCACGCGTCCACATAAGCAAGTAGACCGGAGGGGGGAGGGGGGGAACCGGTCACTTTTTTTTTTTTTTGGGTAGGGGAGAAGGTGAAGAGTGAGAAAACGTGCTTTTTGGTGCTTTCTCTCTCAACCTTCCTAAAAATGCACTGCTACCTGTGGAGCGTCTTCCTCACCTTGGATCTGGCCACGGTGGCCTTCGCCCTGTCGACGTGCAGCACCCTCGACATGGATCAGTTTATGCGCAAGAGGATCGAAGCGATCCGGGGGCAGATCCTGAGCAAACTGAAACTCAACAGCCCTCCGGAAGAGTACCCGGAGCCCGAGGAGGTTCCTCCGGAGGTCATCTCGATCTACAACAGCACCAGGGACCTGTTGCAGGAGAAGGCGAACCACAGGGCAGCTACTTGCGAGAAGGAGAGGAGCGACGAGGAGTATTACGCCAAAGAGGTTTACAAAGTAGACATGCAGCCTACTTTCCAGTCCGCAAGTAAGTGCGAATGCGCGCGCCTGCGGCTGTTTGGGGGCAGAAAAACGCGCACGCGGTCAGAGCGAGCCTTGCTAAGATCAAAATCTCTATAAAATAATATAGGCTGTCCTGACTGTTTAAGCACAGCCCAGGGGTACAGCTACCCAAGAATAAAATAAAATTTGAGGTCGCCTCTAAGAATACCGAAGCCCCTCCCAATTTTAAATATTTCTGCATTTTAAATATTTTTCCAGATCTGGTTCTGTGATGCTGGGGTGGAGATGAGATACGGAGAGGGCGGGTGAATGAAGCACCTTTGCACCAGAGGGAGATCTACGAACTGAAATCTGGGATCCTCAATAGGGTTTATGTTCAGGCTCCTGTGTCTTGGGGATCATCCCCCCTGTTTTTCTGTGTGGGACCTCAGTCCTGGCACATGACACATAGTCTCTAGAAGGGCATTCTCCAGAGCATGTGCAGAGTGCTTTACCTTTGCCTCTCTACTGGACAGGAAATCTGAGATCCAGAGTTAAGGGCTTCCTGGGAATACTGTGCGACTCCCACCTAATCTTTGTCTCTGGCACCTCTCATTTTGGAATCTAAGCACCCGGGAATCACCCTTCGAAAAGAAGGGGACATCTGGCAGTTCTCCTGCCTCACTCCCATCGTTTTTGGCAGTGCCTGGTGCCTTCCGATGCCAGATACATTAATAAGCCTCCTTATCTGTTCTCATCCTCAAATTCCCTGTTTATTTTTCAAAGCCCTCCCCTCCGCCCCCACTTTGGGTGGGAACAGTGGCTTCTCAATCTGTTCTCCCTGGATGCTCTCCATCCAGTCTTTGCCTGCCCCTAGCCAGCCAGCAATCAGTGTATGTTTCCCCTTAGTATTTGGCCAACACCTGGGTCAACAAACTTTCCCCTTAATAGGATTAGTTTACTTTGTTAAAGCCCACCCCCCACCCACCCCAAAAGTATTCTCTCAGCTCTTTTCTTATCACCTGCCTAGCCCCCCCCCTTCAGTTCAGTTGGTAGCTTCCAAAGCTGATCACTTCACTTCCCACTGCTGGTTTGTGTCTGATATGGGCAGTGGTCCATTTCAATGTACCTTGGAGAGAGGGGAGCAATCTAGCTCAGTAGTGTATCCACCCCAAAACCAAGTTTCTTTTGAAGCTGGCTGCTGCAATTGGTACAAGCAAAAAAAGGACAGATCCTCCAGGAAGTGCCTCTTTAGATCCTATTTTCAATTTAGTCGTTTCCATTTGTGGTGACCTTATTTCCAGGTACAAAATGATACTCCCTTAATTCTTTTTTTTCTCTTTTCAAGTCCAGCTTCCTGGACACAGTCTGTGAAGGCTTCAGCTGGAACTGATTATGTGCACTCTTTTCTGAAAAATAAATTAGAGCTTGAAAGAGCTGGCTCTGTGCATTGGGCCAGAGCCACTGTGGTCCAGAGACTTAGTGTTTGGAGGTGGGAGACATGAATTCAAATCCCACCTCTGACTTGGACTTGCTGGTTTGGCTTTGGCCGGCCGACTCTTGTCTAGCAGCCGTTCTGAGGAATTCTATGCATTTACTCAGAATATTGAGCCCAACGAGTTTTGTACCTGAGTAAGTGTGCATAGGATTGCAGCCTTGCTGTGCAGTAATTTACAAGCTTACTCAGAAGTAAGTTCCACTGCATTCAACAAGGATAGCAGCCTTAGTCTTTTCAGCTGTAAAATGGACCCATTCACATTCCACTGTAGTCAGTTCACCTTTTTGGCCAGCTGGGGTGGGTGGGTAGGAAGGGAAGAATACGTAGAAAATCAAACCCCAATGTTGATCATTGTAGGAAACTTCGTATGAGAAAAAAAATGAGGCAGCTTTACTACATGCCTAGGCTAAGTGTTTCTTTCCTCTGATTTGTTTTCCAGTCTTCCCCCTCCCCCCCACCCCCCACCCCTATAACTTTATTTGATACTCATATACTTGGTCTGTCTCTGAAAAGCGCATACCTCTTTCCGAAATGCGTAATGCAGCCACCTTGGCAGCTTTAGCCTAGACTTTCTAATTGTAGCCTCTTCTATTTATTTTGAAGGCAACCAGGGTGTAGGTTTTTGAGGCTTGCTGGGGCTTGCTAGCGAGAGTCCCAGGATGCCAGCCAGGGAGCTCAGAACCCCCCCCCCTTTCTCCTTGTGCTGCTGCCTCCCCCTTTTTTATTTGTTAAAAATGACAATCTCTGGAAGAGGACACCGCTGGCAATCAAAGGGTTTTATTATTGCAATTAAGGCACCATCCAGAATGTCTGTGATAAATGTGCTCCACCCTTGTTGCCCCGAGGGAAGGAAGACTTTGTCAAGTGTGCTGGAGCCAAGTGGGTATGCGCAAGCTCTCTAGCGTAATTTGTAGCAATAACATTGAGGCACAGAAGAGAATGGCAAGGCTGCTCCCCCCCCCCTTCTTCTTAAATAGACGTTTCACCCACCCACACTGATCTTCCGCTGGCTCATTGGAGATCTCTTTGTTTGTTTCGCAGGAGTCTGTGCTCTGAGACTGTTTACCAGCCAATCTATAATCCTAGCAGCATCTTGATCTAGGCTTATCACCTTTTAGCTGGAGATTTTTGTTTTGTTTTGTTTCTGACATCTTTCTAACCACACTTCTCCTCCTCCCTGTAAAGAGGCAAAGCTAGCCTGGCTAAACATTGCCTTCTGGAGAATGTAAACAATCCAAGCTGCGATCCGGGGAATAATTAAAAACCCTGTGAGAATCTCCTCCAAAGCTGGGGCTGTAGGCAAAACAGCCCTTGGAGGACAAGTGCGGATATTGCAGGTACCCGCCAATAGAGAGCATCATGAGTTTAAGAGCTGAGGCCCCGTCTCAAGCTTCAGCCAGCCTTACTGTGGAAATGCTTGGTTGGGAAGATCACAGTAAGTGGGTTAACTGTTTTTCCACTGTCTAGTTATATATGCTGGGCTGGACAAGACATTCTAAGGAAGAAAAAATATACAGCCAAGAAGAAATATATAATCTGAATGAGTGAATTGAAAATGCAGGTTTGGACTGCTTTGTACACTTTCCTTCAGACTTACGGGGTGGTGGGTCTTTTTTCCCTTTTTTTTTTTTAACTCTCCAGTTCCTGCATTAGTTGAGCAGGCAGTGATGCGGGAAGAGAAAGGAGATCTCTGCAAACACACTGAGGTCATAGAGTGAAAGGCATGGGAAAGAGCCATCATTCAGAGTTCTTTTTAAAAACTGCCCCCCCTTTTTTTTTACCACAGAGATGTTAGCATTTGGTAACTGACTATGGCCCAAGTATTGCAAATATGCTCTAATTATACTCACAGTCGGCTATATATCACTAAGCAGATCCCTGATAGGTCTTTGTGGGACATTTGTAACAGTCAGTCTAAATATTTTTAGCAATGGAGAGATTTAAAAGGAAAACGCAAAGAGATATTGTATATATCCCAGGGCATATTTTGTCTTAAATATTATCCTTGGCCAACTGTACTATATAAATACAGTAAATATGAATAGCCTTGGCATGTTGCCAATCTCCTGGGATGAATTTTAGTCAAGAAGGTATTTATGGGATATAAATAATACTGTGTCAACATTTAAAGAAGGGATCTGATTAGCTCAGAATTTATTCGTATTAATCTTTTCACGTGCTGTTAGTTTAAGGCTCAAAGCGAAGTTGTGTTAAGGTTTTGCCGATAGTTTGCACCAAGGGAATGAAAGGGCACTGGGCTTTTTTACATGATGGTTTGTGGGAGCACAAAAGGAGACAGTGACTTGGGTCGGGCATGGAAATCAACGTGTATCAGGAATTAACAGGCCTAGATTTCTAAGATACAGGCAAGGAAATATCCCTGAGTGGCTTGGGGCATCCTTTCATTAGCTGTGCTCTGTGTCTTCCTTACAAGTCTCTAATTTGCTTCAATTGAGGTTACACAAAGTTCACAGCTATAATGTACATTGCATGGAGGTCAATGGAAAAAGCTTAATGGACTTCCATGGGTCCTACAGCTGTGAATCAAGGGTGGGGAACCTTTGTTCCTCCAGATGTTACTGACCAGCTCCCATAATCCCTGGCCAATGGTCACATTCAGTGTTTGTTTTCTGGAGGGACGCAGGGGTACGTATACCCCTAAACATTTTGTGAATCTAAGTTTGGCCTCATTGAGGGGCAGAATTACAATATGAGTAGGAAAATGAGAGTACCCCTAAACACTTTTTTAAGAAAAAAAAGCACTGGCCATGTTTGCTGAGGTAGATGGTATTTGTAGTTCAAGAACATCTGGAAGGCCAAAGGTTGCCACACCTGCTCTAGATAAACACCGCAAACATAAATAGCAGTTCTCTTTATCTAGGAATCATAGAATTGTAGAGTTGGAAGGGACCCCAGGAGACATGATTGAGAACCCTGATCTCCCAGGCTTTCTCAATCCCCCTGGAGCCTCCATAGATACAACAGTTGTGAAGCCTTGGGGGAGGGGCTTAAGGTGTGTTCCTGCAGTCCCACTGTACCTGTGTTCCTCCATAGCTCTGAAGGACTCATTGCTCTTTGGCTGTGAAACCTGTGTTGATTGTGTGTGGAATTATAATTTTAAGAACATAAGAAGAGAGCTTGTTGGATCGGGCCAAAGGCCCATTTAGTGCAGCATCCTGTTGCCAAAGTGGCTAACCGGATGCTATGGGCATCTGGCAAGCAGAAGATGCCTTCATGGCTGGTGATTTGGTAAGATGTCCAGAGAGTAAGCTGTCCTGTATAGCAAGGATGGGCAACCTGGGGCTCCTCTGCTGTAGCTGGACTTCCAACTCCCGTCAGCCCCAGACTGCAGAGCAAATGGTCGGGGATGATGGGAATTATTGTAGCCCACTAACATCTAGAGGTCCACCGGTTCCCCATTGCTGTCCTGTAGGATGACCCTAAACAGCTTATAAATGAGTAAGAAATAAATGCATGCCTGATTACTTGTCCCCGAGTGTGCGGATGGAATCTATTGAAAGTATTGTGTTTGAAATGATACAAGAGGATATAAAACATGATATTGGAAGGACAAAATGTGGGGTATTGCATCTTTGATGGCTATTGACACATGCAGGCTATCATTTGATAGGCAGTCCATAAACATAGATGCATGAATCACAAGCAGAACTGTGTGTGATAGGGCTGGTCTTTAAGTGCTGATGAAGCAAAATCTGGCGCAGCATTTTGGTTCCAAGCATCAGTCACCCATTTGAAAGCAACAACAAAGCCTCTCTAGCTTTTAATAGATGTGAAGCGCATCCTCTTTCTTTTTGGCATTATAGTATCAATTCTCCTTCCCCTCTTCCTCTTCTTCTTCCTTTAATAAACTTTATTGAAAAGATAACAGGATTACAGGAGTGGAATATAAAAGCAAACCTCATATCATACACAGGGCATTGAGGATAAGAGTCCATCAGGACAACCAGATTTTCCTCATTTGGGGCAGATTTTGTGTATTGGTTCCAAAAGTGTAAGAAAAAAATTCCCACCGTGTAGCCGCATAAAAACATTCCAGATCTTCTGATCCATTAGAGACCTTTAAATTATGGGACTGCATCTTTTTCATAATTTCTTTTAGCCCTGAGGTTAACCAGGACCACATTCATGGTTTCTGTGTTAGTATCGAACACTGGAAAGCAAATTAGGATGACATGGGAATTTAGTTCCTCCTCCAGAGAATTAGTAATGTACCTTTCCAGAGCCTGAGTTGTACACCTTGTTTCTAATAGCTATAAAAGGACCAATTATGTCTTTTCTTTCTCCTTTCGCTGAGGAAAAACTTTGCTTTCTGTAATGAGAGTTTTGCTTGAGTAAGAGCTGGGCTTAAGTTTAGAGAATAACTTACCCCTTTGAAGTTTGGACGTTGGGATATAAATTTACAGAGTCCTGAAAAACTGCAACTGTTTATACTTTTCGTAGCAGTTCCACATGAAAGTTAACTAATTTAATGCAGAACAGTTCACCCCCTGCACAACCGTACTCCTTAAATTGAATCTCTAGTCTACACCTCAATTTTATGAGAGCCACTGGTGTGATTTATCCTTCCATTAGCTCTGTTGCATGAATATTTGCTTCACGTAGTCTTCCACCCCCTTCCTTTGCTGAGTATTTTACCTAATGAAAGAAAACATTATAAACCAGCTACATACAATGGCATGTTTCTACTTTATCAACAAGGAATTGATTTACTAGTGTTTATATGTGTGTAGGTTTCTTGTCTTCAGAGGAATTGGGTTACTAGTAGAGTACAGAAGTAGCTGTGGGCTTTTGTTTTCCAGAGGGTTACACAGCCCCACAGGGTGGAATGGATAATGGGGAAATTACGATATCAGCCCTAATCACACTTACTGGGAAGTAAGTGAATTCTGTGGAACTCACTTCCAGTAAGGATTTGGGCTGCAGGGAATTTGGGTCATGGGAATGAGAAGTGGCTGAAGGGAATGGGAGATATCACAGCTTCAGAAAGTGTGCTGCTGCTCTGGTGATTGGAGGAGGGACGTATTGGCGTGGAGTGACATTCCTCTTCTTCATGTGGAAGTAAGATTAAGTGTTTCTTGTAACAGGTGCCAGATAGGTGGACAGATGCATAGCAAAGAACATAAGAGCCTGATGGATCAGGCCAGTGGCCCACCTAGTCAAGAATCCTGTTCTCACAAGGTCCAACCAGCCTGCAAGCAAGGCCCGACAGCTTTCTCCCAAATTGTGATTCAGAAACTTGCCTTGAGGGGCATACTGCCTCTGACAGTGGAGCTAGAACATAGCCATCATGGCTAGTAGCTGTTGATAGGCGTTATCTTCCACAAACCTGTCTGAATTTATTTTAAACGCATCCAAGTTGGTAGCCAGCACTACCTCTTGCAGGAGTGAATTCTAGAATTTAACTAAGATGCAGAGGCTAGACTAGTCAGGAATCTGTTGGAATTTGAGGACATAAGTTTTGATCAGCACATTTGAAGGAGATGGATAAGGTGCAATGAGTTCTCAAGTCTTGCCAAAACAGACATTCAGAAGGCATCTAATGCAGCCCTGTTCGGAAGTTTTAATGTGTGACATTTTAGTGTATTTTTGGAGTCTTGAAGCGCCAGAGTGGCTGGGAAACACAGCCAGATGGGCGGGTATGTCATTAAATTATTATTATTACACACACACACAATACACGGTGTCAGTGCTGGTGTATGGACAACATGCCCTACCGTCCCTGTCCGGTGGCCATGCTGGCTGTAACTGATGGGAGCTGTAGTCCACCAACATCTGAAGGTCACCAAATTGGCTACGTTTGTATTAATATGTTGCTTAGGAAAGTTGTGGGACCATCTTCTCTGAAACTTTGAACACCCTGTGAGACAGAGAGGCCACCTTGACAAGTGAGTGAAGCATGGGGACCCCCGCAGTGGCATGCTGTATCTCCCCATTGCCTCAGATGCTACTCCTCTATACTCCTCCACTCTTTCTGAAGTGGTATCACTCGAGAGAGCTAAACTTTGCCCAGAGCCCACGAGTTGTTGAATCATATTTTGAGATAAATAGGGACTAGCTTCATGCACTTGCCGATAAAGCTCATGAGTGAATCCTTTACATATAGTGAAGTAGCTGGCTCTTGGGGCTGCCATACATCCCACTTGTGTTGCAAGATATGGTAAAGGTAAAGGACCCCTGGACGGTTAAGTCCAGTTGAAATTGACTATGAGGTGTGGTGCTCATCTCAGCTTTCAGGCCGAGGGAGCTGGCATTTGTCCACAGACAGCTGTGGCCAGCATGACTAAACTGCTTCTGGTGCAGTGACGGAAACCAGAGCACATGAAAACACCATTTACCTTCCTGCTGCAGCGGTACCTATTTATCTACTTGAGCTGGTATGCTTTCGAACTGCTAGGTTGGCAGAAGCTGTGACAAAACAGGAGCTCACTCCGTCGCACAGATTTGAACTGCTGACCTTAAGATTGGCAAGCCCAAGAGGCTTGGTGGTTTAGACCACAGCACCACCCATGTCCCACACGATATGACACAGGTGGTGCTGGCTGCATTCAAGATTCCATATAGCAAGGCAAGTCCATCTTGATGCTCCTATGCATAGCACTGCCTTCAGATCTTTCAAGTCTCTGTATAAGGGGCATCCAGTGTGAGACCCTCCAGAAGTTACACTCCCATCATTCCTGACCATTGCCGATGCTGGTTGGGGCTGATGGAGCATGGGTCCAATAACATCTGAAGAACTCAATGTTGGTTTCCTATGGTATGTATTTTATCACTATGCAACATTGTTAGATTTGGTACCTCAACCAGTGGAGTCTGGTCCACTTACTCTTAGTCTCCTTGCCTTCTCCCCAAAAGGCATCAGCCACCACTGCTCAAAGCATCTTCATCAGGTGACTATACTTGATTAGTCCTTTTGCACCATTCTCTGCAGCTGGCAGTGCTGCCCATATATTATCATTGGAGATCACCATGCATGGCAGTTTACTATTCATTGTTAGCATTTATTCTATACCTTTTTAATAAAATATCTAAGGTAGCTTGCAAGCAAAGAAGCTAACCAATGCTGGGACCTGGATTCTGACCTTCCTGAGAAATTGCCTGGAGTGGAGTTTGTCTCATTTTGGAGTGGAGACTTAAATGCAGAGACTTGAAAAATGAAGTGCATCTTCTCCCCATTGTCCGCAGTTGGCACTGCTACACAAAACATGCATTATGACATTTTCATGGGACACCATCACACGTGCCAATGGTAGAACATGTCTTTAATTCTGAGCCTATTGGGGGAATTGGCTTCAGATGAGCTTCTCTCATTTTGGAACAGAGACTTAAATCCAGACACTTGAAAATGAGTCATATCTGGGAAAGGTTTATAGGCTGTAAGTACAATTTGTACCAAAACCCTCTAGTGTAAAAAGTGAAAACTATAGTCACCAGGGACAGTGATCTGCTGAGAGAGAAAGTGCCTTCACATTAAACTGGCTGAGGCTTTTAGAAGAAGAGGGTCAGGGTTCTTCACTGCTCCTTATTAAATTATGAAAAGAGTAATTGGATCTCCAATAAAGAATGTCTTAATAGAAATGGTAACATCTGGTGGGTCACAGGTTCCCTATTGCGGTTTTCCAAGATCCCAGCCGTCAAATCTATGAGCTGTCTCTGGGTGAAGTAGTCATCGTTTTCACCTGGAGGGCTATTGCCTACATGCCACTGTTGGAAAAGGGATGCCAGACTAAATGGACTTGGGGTCTGCTCTTCTTACTGTTGCGGGTTGATGGACTTTCTCCCTTACCCTGATAACCATAGCTATTCTGCATAGCCTAGGTGTGCTTAAATCAGGCATAGGCAAACTCGGCCCTCCAGATGTTTTGGGACTACAGCTCCCATGATCCCTAGCTAACAGGACCCGTGGTCAGGGATGATGGGAATTGTAGTCCCAAAACATCTGGAGGGCCAGGTTTGCCTATGTCTGGCTTAAATATATGTGCTTAAAGCTAGGTGTGCTTCAATATGTGCATAGAATCATAGAATTGTAGAGTTGGAAGGGACCCTAAGGATCATCTAGTCCAACGCCTCTGCAATGCAGGAATCTCAGCTAAAGCATCCATGACAGATGACATGTCTGTTGAGTCCACTGAGACTTACTCCCAGGTGGATGTGTATGGAATTGGAGCCTAAATCATTAGGATTTAGTTATGATTTGCCAAACTTTTCCCATTGACTTTTATGAGACTTCAGAGTGATTTTTTGTGTGCGGAGTGGGAGCAAGGAGTGTCGGAATCTGCATGACCTGAAGTAACCTTTGTAGCTCATAAGAACCTGGCATTTCATAAAGAATCACAAGACTCTCTGAGTTTTAACTCATTTCCGAGAAGAATATTGGCAAAATGCCCATCAATATAATGTGTGTGTTGTAAAGTTTCTAGTGCTCATGAAGACAGAATAACAGAATAAAAACCTTGCCGTTTCTGCACAAGCGTTAAGTGTTAGAGAGGGCCATCCGATTGCCAAGAAATTCATTGGGCACAACTGTCTTCCATCTTTACCTCGGTATCTGACAAAAAAAATTATGAAATGACAAATGCTCGAGGGAGGGGAAGATTAAAGTACACAGTTTAAGAACATTTGTCACAATGATTTGTGTAAATCAACATTAACAAAATGCCCATCTACATCGGGTGTGTGTGTTATATAGGGAACTTAAAGTTGCAGTGTCTGTTGCACGCATCCCCAGGGAATGCTTTCGGCAGAGCAGGGAAGGGGGCAAGTTTTGCCTTTACCGCAATGGAATGCAGCAGTTTCCTTTTTATCACAGGAGTGAATGGCAGCCATTCCCTGATATGGGAGAAAGCAAAAGTCTGTGCCTAGAAGGGGCTCCATTTGTGTTTGGGGTTACCTTTGTCCCTGGCAGATCCATGGGGTGGGGGAAGAATAGGCTTCCCCCCACCCATCAGTCTTGCTGGGGGTCACCCACTTAAAGCTGTCCCATTCAATTTCACGAAAACCATGAAGACCTGAATTTGCTACCCTGGCGCTCCGTTCTCTTTCTTGCCCGCTCTAGCTGATTGGTGGTGAGAATCATGGGGCTCCACAGTGCAGCCAACCCCTGCCCATAGCAGGACTTCTTGTACAGGAAGCCCCAATGGAATCTGCTGCTCAAAGTGGTAAAAAATACTTTGGGTCACTTGGTGCTACTGTGATGTCAGGTGCCGGCTGGATCCTAATTTTCACCTCTGCTCTAGAGTGTAGACAGAGAACCCAGGAACTTTATATGCACAATGAATCTATTGGAGAACTCCACCTCCCTTCTGAGGAGTGAACATTTACCGAAATGCCTCACACAGCATGGACTGCTAACCATCAACATCAAAGGAAATGAAATACTAGGTCTTCAGTTTTTAGTTTTTCTGCTTTCAGGGACAACGTGATCTGAGAGCTGGCTTGCCCAACCTGGTGCCCTCCAGATGTCTTGTACTACAATGACCGTGCCCTCTGGGGCTGACGGCTGTTGCCATCTGAAACATCTGAAGGGGGTCAGGTTGGGAAAAGCTAAGGAGTCCCTTCCAGTTGGCCTGTACAGTGTCTCTCCTTGGAGTCTTTCTCTGCTACAGATTCAGTGGAAGTTCCCAGTGCATCTTTGACAAAACAAGTCATTAGTGAGAATACACAAATGTTTCCACTCCCGTTGCAAAACCTTATGCTATACTTAGTTCTCTCTCTCTCTTTCTCTTACTCTCCCCCCCCCCCAAGGCATTTTTCAGCATGGGAATGATATGTTCCCCAGGTATTATTTTAATTTAATAAGTGCATCAACAGCACTGTTTAGACTAAACACATTTATTTGCTTGTTTGTTTAGAGTGTGTTTGCTTCCCGATTGTAACTGGGCTGGCGTTTGGTTTTTTTTTTGCTTCTTTTTGCAAAGATGCTATCCACGAGTCGAGTGCTTAATGGCATGATTTCTATCACTGTGCTTTTCAGCATGGTTCAGTTTCTAATAGTTGTTTCTCTTTGTTGACAAAATCAATTTTCCCCACATTGTTTTGATTTAATGACTAAGAATGCAACGTCTGCAGTGGACAAAGAGATTATAGGAAGGGTGCCGTTTAGTGAATGTGTATGATGGCAACCTTAGCTCAATTTGGATGCAAACACTAAACCGTGGTTTAGCGTTACAGGAAGAAGTCCTGGACTTACATGCTTCCTCCCTCTCTCATTGCATCCTTGACTCTGTCATGGCAAATCATAATTACGTCCAGTAATTACAAACTAAAGTGCATCTGTAAATCAGAAATGACACAGTGTGATTTCCAGTACTGGCTTGTACACAAGCAAACCATAGTTTGCTCAGCTTAATGTAATGGCAAACTGTGGTTACAATCTAGTTCGTAAATTTATTATTCTAGCCAAAGGCCATGACAAACTCGTAGCAATAGTATTAATAAAATAATACAGACCACCTATCTATAGTTAGCCTGTGGTTACATAGAATCAAAGAATTATGGCATTGGAAAAGACCTTTGGAGTCAAGCAACCCAACTTCCTGCTCAGTACAGAATCTACAATGAACATATAAGCCCACAGCGCCTCTGACAGATCTCTTTTTGCAGGACAAGAAGGAAGGGAGTGTGGGAATCCATGATTCATTCACGTAACATGAACTGAGCTGAGCTGGTTTCCTAATCTTTTCATACCTGCAGCGCATTTCTTTTTCCTAGGCTGTAACTGGAATAGCACTTCACTTACTAAATTCAAAAAGATACACCTGCATTTCCTTAATCAGCTCCCAGCAAGTTGGTACTGGTTAAAATTGCCTCCTGGTGTTCTGTGTCTCCCTTTGCCTGGTAAGTCAAGGTTCAGGTATACGCTTTGAATACAGTTATGTTGCTTCTGGGATTCCCTGAACCTACCAGGTATAGAAAGAACTGTCAGTGAATCCTGGCAGGAGCCTCAGGACAAATGCCACTATTCATATATTGAGAAATGGCGGAACTCAATGAGCCCAGGCTGATGGATGCTTAACTTTTCAAACAATGCTTCCATCCCTGTTGTGATTCACTAGAGCAGGGGTAGCTAAACCGGTGCCCTTCAGATTGGACTACAACTCCCATCAGCCCAGCCAGCATAGCCAGTCATCAGAGATGATGGGAGTTGAGAATCCCAAGAACATCTGGAAGGAGTCACCATGTTATCTACCTCTGCACCAGAGTCCCATGGCATGCATTTTAAGAACTGCTGGGCTTTTCGTGCCAATGACGAACACTGAATGCACATCTGCAGAGTCATCAAATGCTAAAAGTCTGGAGAGCTCTGATACTTGCAGATGGTTACTCTATTGGAAAGGAGCAACGCTTTCAGCGGAGGGAGCTCATTGTTGTGCCTGTGGATAGGATCTCCCTTTTGAAATGGGAAGCTCTGCGCACACACAAGAACATGTGGAAGGATGGATTGGTGCACTTTGTAAATGTGTATATGTATAATTTGCAAAGGCAGAAGTAAAGTCAATGTATTGCATAAGCTATCCTTGAGTAAGAGTCTGTGGAAAAAACAAGACCATATCTACTTATTACCACCCACAATTGCTGTATACAGGCAATTGCTTAACTTAACATTTGTGGGCGTTTCTCTGGGTGCCCCCACCAAAGAATAATAACAATTAATAATAATAATTTATTATTTATACCCCACCCATCTGACTGGGTTTCCCCAGCCACCCTGGGCAGCTCCCAACAGAATTATTATTATTATTATTAATAATAATAATAATAATAATATAATGTGACAAAACATAAAACATTAAAAATTTCCCTAAACAAGGCTGCCTTCAGATGTCTTCTAAAAGTCAGATAGTTGTTTATTTCCTTGACATCTGATGGGAGGGCGTTCCACAGGGCAGGTGCCACTACCGAGAAGGCCCTCTGTCTGGTTCCCTGTAGCTTCACTTCTTGCAGTGAGGGAACCGCTTCTCGAAGACTTAGAGTTTTGAGAGGCAAGGCAGATGGGGGTCAGTAGCTAAATCCTTGATGGTGGCCACAGCATCTTTGTATGACAATCTCTGGTGTGCGATAAGTGTTGGTATCTTTTAAAAATACTGTATTCGTGTAAACATGGGGTCTGTGACTAATTCTGTAGCTATTTCCCCAAGAACTGGCCAGTATTCTGTCATTGTTCAAGTAGCTTAGTGTCTTTTAAAAAGAGAATTGGCTGTTTCAGGTGATCTCTCCATAATGGCACTACATTAGAGGATAAAACCTTGGAGTTTTCAGAGGACATTTCTCCTGCTTGAAAGGCAATTGGTGGGAAGCGTTCACAGATTTCCACAGTCCTCTGAATCCTGGGCTCCTGGTTGCAAGAATTGCAAGGTTAACCATTATAATAAGGCAGGGCCATCGTTGCTTTCAGCCCTCTAGCAGCTCAAACAGCAAGGGGCATGCATACCTCTACAGGACTTGAACCCTCCCACAACAAGAGCAGGGAACATTTGGCCCTCCCGGTGTTGCTGAACTACAACTCCCAGCAGCCCTTGCAAGCATGACCAGTGACTTGGGATGATAGAAATTATGGTTCAGCAACATCTGGAAGGCTAAAGGTTCCTCGCACGTGTGCTATAAGAACCTGAGAGGGAATTGCAGAGCAAATAGTTTGAGGTACTTCAAGCATGGTATACAGCAGACATGGGGAACCTGTGGCTCTCCAGATGTTGTTGGGACTCAACCTCGCATCAGCCTGAACCAGCAGCTGTAGTCTATCCACATCTGGATGTTTCCTGCTGTAGAGGAAAGCACAGGGTTCTGATCATCTGTAGCCAATGTGACTTGAGGGGAAGATTCCAGTATATAATCATTTATGTATAAGGTCAGTCAGGCCTTGAGGAAGTCATTCCAAAGGAACATTTAGTATGCTTGACTCTTTTCTACCTTGGCAATTTGTTCCTGTGGTCAACTCCAGAGTAGCAGTCTAGAGCTCTACTTGCATTTTATATTATTTTGCATTAAAGTCAAGTGCAGTGGTACAGTACCTTGGTTTACAAACTTAATCCGTTCTGGAAGTCCGTTCTTAAACCAAGGCATGCTTTCCCATAGCAGCAGGGGACTCAATTTACAAATGGAACACACTCAACAGGAAGCGAAACATGTTCTTATTCCAAGGCAAATTTCACAAACCAAAACACCTACTTCCGGGTTTGCAGCATTCTTAATCCAAGTTGTTCATAACCTAAGCTGTTCTTAAACCAAGGTACTTCTTTCCCTGGAGGTATTTAAGGAAATGCTAGATGACCATCTGTTAGGAATGTTGCAGATTCCTGCACTGAGCAGGGAGGGTGAGGCTAGATGTCCTTTGAGGTACCTTCCCTCTTTAAATTTCTATAAGCTTTCTGAATGGCGTTTATTGTAAAGTTAAAAGACTGAAAATAAAATCCTGTCGTTGATAGTAAAAAAATACTGGCTTGCACATTGCATTTCAGTAACCCCGGTAACATTATTCTAAGTCAAATGCAAGAGGAAAGTGAGGGGAGGAAAAATGCTGTGAATTTGACCTTGGCCACGTTTGTTTGGCTCTTTGCCTCACTGTCAAATTCACACTGTACTGACAAATGCCGCATCTGCCCTGACACATCTGCAGGCGTTCATTCATAACGCCAGGTTCTCATAAGGATCCATTCGTTACTTCCTTTCACAATTTTGGATTGCATCTTTTGGGGCTGGATCCAGATCTTGTGATCTGAATCTCCACTCAATTTTTCATGTCCAATTGATTCTTTTTTTAAAAAAAAAGTTGTTGCAAAAAATCCAAGAGGGAAATCTTGCCTGGGAGAGAGCACTGTATTATATATGTTTTAGATAGTACGTGTATATCTGTTTAACAGCATCAAAACATATGTTGTTGCCAAAGCCCAAATTGGAATGTTCTGGGAAAGATAATTTAATTTTTAGCGCTTGGATCAGTGTCAGCGATGGATGGGAATTTCGACACTTCCTGGGGAGAGTCTGCCGGTGGTGATTATACACACGCAGCAAAATGCAGCAGTAAATCTCTCATTCTTTCAAACTCCCTTTCTCCATCTCATAGAAATCCATGATATTTTCCTTGTTTGGCCAGTGTCAGGGTGTTTACACTGGCATACTCTCATTCAAAACTCTGCCCTGAATTTTAAAAGGCAGCCCAACTGCTGCTGAAGGCGTTTTGGTTTTTCTGATTCTGTTTTTTGTTTACATTTAGCATTTGCAAGTCAGCAGCTTGGTCGGCTCAGATAGAGTTTTGTGGGTAAAAAACAGAGCATCTGTCACACTGCCTTGCCTGGAAGGTAGGGAATCGCAGCAGTCTACATCTCTGCACAAATATGAGGATGGTATCTGGCCTATGAGGAATGGAAAACACTGGTGCCATGTTCCGAAGTGTGACAGGCTTCTGATACTTAACACAGAGGTCCACAGAAATGATTTGCACCCTTATCAATAGAAACACTAGGGATACCAATAGAGGCACTAGGAATGTCAGGCATACACAAGGGCCGAGTGCCAAAGTGGGTTTGAGCAGATCCCTAGGTGACTGGTATTTGGGGTGTGTGTGTGTTTGTGTGAGGATGCCAGCTACTTCATTTTAAAACAGGAAGCCCAAAAAGAGGAGAAATCATTGTGTGCATGTGCACAGTTGAAAGATTCACAGGACAAACGTTGGCATGTTAGTGGATACACCAGGAAAAGCAACATGGTCTGTGAGGCAAAGAGGTCATAGCAAGTGGAATGCGATCAAAACTTACATTTCCGCTCAGCCTAAAAAACCATCAGAGGGAAGCAGTAAACATTCCCACCCCAGTACATTATAAAAAGTTTGCGAACTGACTTGAAGCGACTGAGAGAATTGAGATATCTAACTGGCACATTTTAATATGCACAAAAGCGATGGGGGAGGGTGCCAAAGGAAAGAAAAAGAGATACAGTGGTACCTCGGTTTTTGAATGTAATCTGTTCAAGAAGACCGTTCGAGTTTTGAAACGTTCGAAAACTCAAGACGGAAAACTCAGTACAGAAGCCGCATGGCATGTTTGACTTCTGAGGTGTGTTTGAAAACCGAAGCATTTACTTCTGGGTTTTCGGCGTTCGAAAACCGAAATGTTCAAAAATGGAGACATTCAAAAACCGAAGTACCACTGTAACACCTAAGGCGTATCTGTATGCCTTTTAACCATGTAACATTTAACCATGGTTTAGCAGCGTATGGATGAGCCGGAGTGAGAACAATGAAAATGCTGGGCTTTCTACCTGTCACATGGCCAAGAGAAGGGGTTTGGCAGGCAAAAAATCACTTTTGAAAGGATTCCAGCTTAGCCTTATGTTCAAACCTAGGGATCCTGGTTTAAAATGAACAAGGGTTAGTTTAATAACCCAGCATCATAACTCATGGTTTGAAGTCATGTTGTTTAGCAACTAACCATTACTAATGCTCAACCGAGATCCTTAAAAAAGTGAAACTCAATCCTTGCTGAATTTCTCCCTGCCACATGGGGTAGTTTGTGAGCCTGACTCTTCACCCAGGCTTGGCTACGTAGCACTGAGCCATGGTTTAGCATTACACAAGACAGCGGGCAGAGAATAGAACAGGAGAAGCAGATTTATTGTGAAAGGAGAATAGCAGTCGAAAAATGTGGGATCACTGGACTTACTTGCAAGAAAAGGCCTAAATCCCCCCCCCCCCTTTTAAAAATGAAGCACACAAGAACATCTCCACTAGGCCAGAAAGTATTGAGTTGCTATCTTAAATGTAGATATTCTTCTTACCCATGACCGCTAAGTCTAATTCATGCATTATCAGGGACTGTTATACATTTGGCTTCAATTTATAACCTCTAAACTCAAACAGGTTGGGAATACCTCTTCTAGGGGGTAGTATATTGGCTACAGTAAGAAGCAGGAAGTTCCTCTGTGTGGGTTTTCCGTCATTGGATGACCACACAGTATTGTCTTTCTTGCCCTCATTCATTTATGGCAGTGCCCATGCAGAGAGGAGGAGAAAGCAAGGCTCTAGACGTTCAAAGCTATGTCTATCTCTTTTCCTTCTGTTGCTTTCAGATATCAGAGTTGGTCCTTTATTGTCATGCAGAACCAAAAGGATGTGTGTGAGAGCTCTAACTGTGGTGCAGTGTGTTCCTGTCCCCATCCCTGTGTGTACTGCCCCAACCCCTCCTTCCCCTGGCCTTTTGCTCACTGAAAATGAAGCTCAGCAGGGAGAGACTAAGCTGAACACAGTTAGAATCTCTCCCACAATTTGGAATCCCAATTGCACAGGGTTCCTGCATCTGCTATTCTCAGAATAGTTCCAAACAGCCATTTGCAATATGGCACTTATGATTGCACGAAGTTCTGGTTGGTTGTATATCTGATGCCAAGATAAGTGTCGCCATGTCCTCTCCTCCCCCTGGATTTTTGAGCACAAGAACATAAGACCGTTCTGCTGGCTCAGGCCAATGTCCCATCTAGTCCAGCGTCCTCTTCTCATAGTGGCCAACCAGATGCTTGTAGGATGCCTGCTTGCTGCCCACCTGCGACTCCTAGCAACTGCCATTCAGAGGCATGATGCGTTTGCAGTGGTGTGGCCAAATTGCCTCCTGGCAGGAGCTCAGCGGAAAAGCTTGTGCTTTGCATGCAGAAGAACCTAGATTCAACCTCTAGCATCTCTATGCACGTCTGGGAGAGATACTTTTTTGAAACCCTAGGAAGCTGCTGCCAGTTAACATAGACAATATGGAGCTCTGTTGCACTGAGTAATGGTCTGAACTTGTATAAGGTGGCATCATGGGAGTCCTTCATTGTGTCACTTGAGCTGGGATGGGGAATCTCTTTCAGTCTGAAGGCCACATGACTTTCGGGAGCTGCAAGCCCAGTGGTGGGCGGGGCAATGCGTGCAATGTTTACCTTTGTACAACAGGTGACATTCTAGCCAAGCGAAATCCAGAAGTTTCTACCCGCCATCCTCAAAAAATCTCTGCATCCAGGCAGGGGAGAGGCCGTATCACAGTTCAATGATAAAATCTGGCCAGGCAAAAGAGTAAAACGAGTGCCATCTGGGCCTGGTTGTGCTCCTGTTGAAGAAATGGCACTGTGCATTTGTAGTCACCCTTTCAAGAAAGAGCCCCAGTTGCAAGGTATTTTGGAACACCTTTTTGAAATGTGGTTCTTTGCCTTTGATGAATTACCATCAGAGCTGTAGTTCTACATGAGCTGTTAAAAAAATAAAGGAAAAATAAACAGAGTGGCAGGTTACTGGTAGCAGCATTTGATAGCAGTTGTCATCTGGTAGCAACATATGGCAGCAAGATGGGAATAGCGTGTGGTTTCGGAGTTCAGGGAAATAAGCACAAGTTTATGCACTGTACCTTTCTGGTATTCTACACGCACACTCCTTCCCATAATAAATGATAATCTGACCGTGAAGACCTTCCAAATAAACATGTTTTAATGTCTTTCCATCATTCCTTCTCCCAAAGCTGTTACTCATCTAAGAGTCGAAGTGGGCTGTATATCTGAAAGGCTCTCCAGGAACAAATGCAAACTCGCACCTTTTTAACGTGCATAAGCACTAAATCTTCCAAGAGCTACAAATAGGCAACTATGATTAGAAAGAAAAGCAAGGATAACATCCGTCAGCCTCTTTTGACTGAGAGAAATGGAGTCAGCTGGCAACAGAAGTACGAGCCTTGCCAGGCATCTTAGAAGCAATATGATTTCAGAACGAGGCATGTGTGCCAAGGAGAAATGTGTTGTTTGGCTTTATGTGGGGTAAACAGATGATAATCATAATGATAGTTGCATGACGTGGTCTATAATACCAAGGAAGTTGCTTGGGAAGTAAACTGATGCAGTGGAAATTGTAGTCCACCTTGGGCCATTTGGTTGGGTTTGGGGATCTTTCATCCAGGTCATAACCTTGCATATTGAATCCTACCAAGTGATCATCCATTCCAGCCAAGTCCATAGCATCAGATTTGTTACGGGTACAAACAAACCAAACAGCTTGGTTGCCATTGGCCTACCAGAGCTTCCTGGGCTGCCTCAAAGCAGGACTTCTGGACATATTGTGAATCAGTCCCAGTGACATACAGGGATTTAACCCTAAAACCTGGGTGCAGTGTCAGGGATAAGTCCTCTAAGGTATATTGTGATAAAGGAACTCTGTGTGAGAGAGTACTTCTTCGTTACCATTGATTTAATGACTTCCAGTGATCGCTAATGAGGGATGGGTTAGGGAGAATTTCTAAGTCAGGAACTGGTCCTTTGTGGTAGGCATTTACCCCAACACAGCTCATTTGGTAGACCGTGAGACTCTTAATCTCAGGGTTGTGGGTTTGAACCCCACACTGGGCAAAGGATTCTTGCACTGGAGGGAGTTGGACTAGAAGACCCTGGGGGTCCCTTCCAACTCTATGATTCCATTGGAATTTCCATCTGAAAAAAGTCATGCTGGTGTATATCATCATCATCAAACCTTTATTGGCATCACATACAAACATTCAGAATAAATAGGCCAGTGTGATCTCATCGCCATTTCAACAGTACAGTACAGTCATTTGCCAAAGGGAAGAAGACGCGAGCAATCTATTTCATCTCTGTGGGTCTCCAGCAAGGGCAGGATCCTGTAGCGTACTTTGGTGACAAAAAATCAAATAGAGGAACTTACCTACTGTCTTGGTGAGCTCCTGGTCTCTCCCCTGTAATAAGAAGCGTATAACCTCTGTCTCTGGTTTCCATGTTGGAATACATAGATGTCTAAAAATTGTTGGCTTTCATGGTTACTCTTTTGGCAGAGTGCAGGATTTTTAAAGTCTAAATATGATGTCCCATGTATCTGTATTGATGTGGGGATGCTTAGTATAAATGGGAAAGGCCCCTATACTGTCCTGTTCTAGTGGAAGGCTGACTAGCACACTGGTGTTTAACTAATCTACTTAATGACTGCAGAGAACAGCATTTGCTCAAAACACTTTCAAAGCAGCCATTTCTATAGCTGCTAATTAACTGACATCATTCCTGTTTTGGAATGGAAGCAAATAATTTGTGCATGTGCGTACATCAGCCAAGCGTAAAACCGGGTAGTCTCCAAAACAGCAACAAATACATTGTAACTCTGAAATGATCTGGGATTCGCATTGATACAAGGCACTGCCTGCCAAACGTGTCATTCTGCCATTTATACACAGGCCAAACAGGTCATTCGTTATACATGGACACAAACCAGTAACATGAAAAACACTGCTGGGGAGCGTTTCGATCTTCCAGGAGATTCTGTCACTGTTGTGCGCCAGCAATAAAAAATAATAAAAAGTTTCAAAGGACATGTTGACCTGAAGCCGCTGAATTGGAATTCATTAGCAATTTTGACACCGTGAAATTGGGTCTCAAATGCTGGAAATGGCTAGCTCAATACAAACTCGGTTTTCTCCCATTGAAAACAATGCCAGCTTTTACACTTAAGCAATTTGACACACTTCATTTGAACGTGCACTGCAACCATGGTTGACTTTGCACTAACAGAAATGGTTCTTGTTACCGATTCCTCCCAGAACAGTTTTCCAGGGTGATGCAGTGGGTGGGGTCAGTGAACACCTTGTTCCCCCTCTTGTGTGTGAACAGAAGGTTTTATTTCTGTTTGTAACTGGATACAACACTGTATAGCCATGAGTGATATTGTAACTAACCAGTAACACTGGGTTGTAGCCATTGCTCATCCTACTCATCGTAGACCCCTTGAAGTTGATGGACTTAAATGAGTCACGACCATTCATTTAAATGGCTCTACTATTGAGTAGGGACTAGCATTGGATGGCCTACAACCCTGTTTTGCTGGCAGATCCAAATCGTTAAATAGACTTGGGGAGGAATTCCTTGTCATGCTATTCTGATCCTTCCATCAGTGCAGATGGAATGATTCTCCCTCTCCTTGTGCTGTTCTTGGGCTTCTCCTGATGGTGAGGGGCATGCAGGGAGCAAGGGGGAAACCCTGTTGAGCAAGCAGAAGTCCTTACAAAGGGCTTCTACTGATGGGACCCATTAGTTGACTCCTGCCCTTGCTTTTACTTGAATTTGCATGGCTTATAAATTTGTTCTCTGTATTGTCATGAAAGGTACTGGTAATGCCTGAGATATAGTTCATTTGGAAAATTCACGGCGAAATTTACAAGCAAGTTCCACCCCCCCTTAAACAGGTAAATCCAATGTCTATTTATAGTGTACATTGGTTTCTTTGGTGACTTTTGGAAAGAAACTAAAAGCACCAGGATTTTACTGCTGTTAAAATATTTGCAATTTTGTGTGTGTGTGTCTGACTTGGCTTGGGTTTATTCATCGTTTAGTTAGCCATCACCTACATTTGTTTTTCAGTTTCATAGAACTTTTCGAATTTGGTTCTTTGGTTGACATACTAAACTTCCCCTAAAGTTTGCTTGGAGTGCGGTCCTACACCTATAGACATCGGTGGCAAACTTCATGTTGGTTTTAATGGCGCAGAATAGTAACTTTGGACAGTCCAACCTGCTTTTCTTGAAAATGACTGACTTTCATTTCCTTCTGTAGCCAGGGAATGGTTTGGAAATTCTGTTCTTTGGAGCCCTTAGAGAACTCTCCAAAGCCAGCATTTCTGCAGCGTGCCAAAGAGAACAGGAGTTCTTCCTGGCAGAGAGAGCGCGGGGAGCGGAGGTTTGATGAACAGAATTTATCTGTGCAACAGAAACCTCTTGCATCATTCTATCTCTTTCTCCATCAGGATGCTACGCTTTCCCTGATGACTTTAACGTTTTCTGTTCACAAATTACTAGACAATCGAGGTCCCGTTTTGAAAAAGACAAAGGGAAAGCTACTTGGTTCTCCTTCGCCGCCACCCCCCCCTTTATAAACAGTAATTGAGTAAAAATGTTAAGTTAGCCTGTGCCAAAGGGGCAGGCATCCAGCTTAAGAGTGAATTTCTCCATCCTGAGTGTGATTTTGAGGACTCGTTAAGGGAAAATATGCTATGCCAAGTCGCTGTGAAGTACCATCAGTATCACCTTGCATGAACTGGCTCTTCTCAAATGGCTGTGCTCAAAATGTCTCGCTGATAATAGGGATAGTGGTATAGTTTGCGCATCTCTCTTTTATTGCTTTACATTAACTCTTTAAAATGCCATGCTAATCAAAGTCGCTCAAAATAAACAGCAACCAAGTATAAGTACATTTCAAGGCAGGCAAAAGCCCCTGAATTCAGAATCACTTTTTCCTATCGTGCTGCCAGTTGTCATAACTGCACTGCAAGTAAGTTCAGTTTGTGTTTCATGCTTGTGTTTCAAAGACCCTGGTGCTGAAATGGCTAAAATCGCAGCTTCTTTTTATTATGTGAATAAAAGAACATGGGAGTAATTGCCCCTGAGGGGGGTCTTCTGGGGAAGCCACATTTCAGTGGGGGCAAGAGCAGCAGGGCATGCCCCTGGCTTGCTTTCATGGCCGTAGGGAAAAATTTGAACATGCAAATGTAGCCCCTGGTCTGGATATGAGCAGGCAAGACTATAGCAGTTGTGGGTTTCAGGAAACCACATGGCAGTATTAATTGCTGAGGAGGTTTGGAGTGGGGAAATCTCTCCCAGGATCTTTTGAGGTCTGGCTAAATTTTCTACAGTGCTCTGGAAGATACTGTGTTCAGGGCGTTCTTGAAGAATTAAATGGCAGCTGTGGGACCACCACTGTTTACTGCCAGGTGAGCTTATTGGGGATCATAGTGGGTGGCACCATGATAGCAGGAGAACTAGAGAGCACAGTGCCATACTTAACATAGCCCATCAGCCATGGTGGCAAACCAGAAGCTCGATAAAGCTCTTGGCTTTGTCGCCTGCAGAAATGGCAAAGGTTTTGCCAAGCGCCTGGCAGGCTACATGGCATGGCTAGTGATTTGCTCTTTGGCTTTGCAAGTCGTGCATGCCTCTGGTAGACTAAAGTAGATTTTGCATTTAGCATCTGCTTTCACACAAGTAGCTGTAGCAGTGTCCATAATCTCCTCTGCGTGGGTTTTTCCAAACATTGTGAATTAAGAGTGCTTCGTCAGATGCTGGTGAGCTACTGTCGGAGTCCTTTGAGATGTCCTCGTGTGCAAAGATTGCCAAGCTAAATGTGATAACCTAAGCCTGACACACACATGTTATTGCGTGCCCAGCTGCAGAGTCCCCCCTCCCGGCGCACCTAACTGCTAAAGTGGGGAAATGAATGGACACAACAACAGTCTGGGATTTTAAATGGCCACAACTTGATTGACTTTAGATATAGGAAGCCTTGGCATAGGCACTGGCCGTATATCCCTCTCAGCCCCTCCACACTGGGGTAGTGGGAACTGAGGCATGACAGGGACTATTCAGGAATGGATCCATCACAAACCCCAGGTTTATGCAGATGGCGACTCTGTGGCCCACTGGCCCCATGCAACTGGTTCTTTGGACAGAGGCTTCCCAACAAACCCATTTAATGGGGTACCCTGTTATCGCCATTGCAGAGACTGGGGGGGGGGGGTTGAGTCACCACTTCACCACACCCCGATTGGATGAAAGACTATAGGATTCTGCCCAAGGCCTAAACCGCCAAGTTGTGACTAGTGATATGGGGAAGGTGAAACCTGCAGCACAGGGACAATTCCTTCCCGGCCCCAAATCAGACCAAAGCAAAGCCCTCCTAGCTGAAAAGAAAAAGGTTAAAGCAGCAAGGAAGAAGAGTTTGGATTTGATAACCCGCTTTATCACTACCCGAAGGAGTCTCAAAGCAGCTAACATTCTCCTTTCCCTTCCTCCCCCACAACAAACACTCTGTGAGGTGAGTGGGGCTGAGAGACTTCAGAGAAGTGTGACTGGCCCAAGGTCACCCAGCAGCTGCATGTGGAGGAGCGGAGACGCGAACCCGGTTCCCCAGATTACGAGTCCACTGCTCTTAACCACTACACCACGCTGGAATTAAAGTAGGGGGGGTGACGCTCCTGGCCGACTGTATAAAGAGCACAGTGTCAGCCAAGATATATAGTAGGAGTTGAGTGAAGCCTGCCTGACTCAGGTCCGCTCGCCAGGCAACACACCCCAAGGCTGCCATGGATTGGCCCAATTTGAAATGGGGGTTGGTGAGAACCTGTGAGCCTCAGAGGGGGACGCGCACAGACAAAATGGTGCGGTGTGTCCGGGCCGACGGAGGAGGTGCTGCGTCAGGCCGCAACCGCACTCACCTGTAAGGGAAGTAAGCAGCCATTAGCAGATAATTTAGCTTTCCTTAAACCAACTCCCTTCTATCAGGAAAGTCAGACTTCACTTTCACTTCCAATTAGGCTTAAGGCTGTAAACCTTATCTGAGAATAAGGCCCATTGATCTGAATTTGTTGAACTTCTGTGCAGACGTGTATAGGATTGCAGTGCAAAACTACAGTAGCATCCATGCTCTTAAATATATTTACATGGAAATATGCTCCACTGAAATTGGTGGGACTATAAGAAAATTGGCTTCCAGGTGGAAAAATCAAAATTAGAAACATAACTGTTAGAACCCAAAACTAAGATTTTGTCAAAGATGTATAACCTGCTGTTGAAATGGAATACTCAGGATGAAACGGTGAAATCCGCTATGATTAAATGGGCACAAGACGTTGGACATAACATAATGATGGCTGACTGGGAACAGTTATGGACCACAGGTATGAAGTTTACGGCATGTAATGCCTTAAGAGAGAATATTATGAAAATGATATACAGGTGGTACATGACCCCAGTCAAGCTTGCAAAAATTTATCATTTGCCCGATAACAAATGTTGGAAATGTAAAGAAACTGAAGGTACATTCTTTCACCTTTGGTGGACGTGCCCAAGGATTAAGGCTTTCTGGGAGATGATATATAATGAATTGAAAAAGGTATTTAAATATACCTTCTTGAAGAAACCAGAGGCCTTTCTCCTGGGCATAGTCGGTCAATTGGTGCCAAAGAAGGACAGAACTTTTTATGTATGCCACAACAGCAGCAAGAATACTCATTGCAAAGTATTGGAAGACACAAGATCTACCCACTCTGGAAGAATGGCAGATGAAGGTGATGGACTATATGGAATTGGCGGAAATGACTGGCAGAATCCGAGACCAGGGAGAAGAGTCGGTGGAAGAAGATTGGAAGAAATTTAAGGACTATCTACAGAAATATTGTAAAATTAATGAATGTTAGAATGATGTTGGATAGAAATTAAGTGGTTTTCAGCTGTAATACTATAAGGGAATATGAAAAATGGATTATTAATAGGTAAAAATTTAACGTCACAATATTTTAAGATTAAAGATTAGGATAAACAAAGAAGGTAAGGATTTGCTGAACCAACAAACTGAACTGGAATACAAAAAAGGGAGGCGTGAGGAGGTCCGGGAAATAAGCTAATGAAAAATAAGTAATGGAAAGATTGAGTTGTTTTTAGCCATTTTTATTTTTGTACTTTTTTCTTCTTTTGTTTTTGTTTTGTAACATTTTGAAAATCTTAATAAATATCTTTTTTAAAAAAATGAAATTGGTGGGACTATAATGGATGTCAGAGCAAACCTGGGGGTTAAAATTCAGCAGCCTAAGTCCTTTCACAGACAGGCACCTGCTGATGGAGGCCAGTGCATTGAGGATTGGGGTGCCAGTGTGTCCTTACCTCACCACAGACCATATTTATTGTTCCCATTTTACAGATGAGGCTGAGGCATGGTAACTTGACCCACTGAGTCCACAGGTGAGCTGGGATTCAGCCAGTACCAAATAGCATACTTTCCAGATGTGGTTTCTAGAATTTTCTCCCTCTGCCTTGCTCTTTCTAGTCCCCTGTATACTGGGGAGAGGGAGGAAGAGGAGTGAAGCTCATGCTAGCAGCACTTAGGCTGAATTTATTCCATTAGCTGTGATGCAGTGAACAGAATACTAATGCATGGGACTCACAGCCTTACAAGCACATTGAGCTGTCTGTGTTCTCTTGCACAACGCCACTGCCGCTTGAAGACCTGGAGCTGTTTCCCTGGATTGCGGTGAGGGATGTCACCAGGACGAAGTCAGATTAAATCCAGTCACTTTGATTTAATAACTGGGATAGAACCATAGGAACCTTCCTTATACCAAGTCAACCATTGGTCCACCTAGCTCAGTATTCTCTACTCTGACAATGCTTTTCCAGAGTTTCGGACATGGGTCTTCCTCAGTTCCCACTGGAGATCCCAGGGGAAACAAAGCACTGCACCCCACAATTCAGAGCTGTGGGGGGAGAAGAGGATAGGCTTGCCTTTGCATCCATAGCAGGTGATCTGAACTCAAAACACCCTTTGGAGGCAACATCTAATCCTGTACTGCTTTGAGTGTTTTGTCTTGTGACTACTATGCTTTTTAAAAATACCTTTTTCTTCTTTCTGCTTCATTTTTATACAGTGGACCCTCTGTATACGAACTTAATTCGTTCCGGGGGTCCGTTCGCATGCCGAAAATTACGTAAATAGAGGTGCACTTCACACTTCTGCGCATGCGTGCGGTGCAATTGAGCACCTCTGCAAAGGCGTGCAGAGGACTTCTGTGCATGTGCGCACGACGAAACCTGGAAGTATACACTTCCAGGTTTGCCGTGGCCATAACCCGAAGATTCTGTATCCAGAGGGATATGCAAGTAGAGGTACAACTGTAATTGTAAGCTGCCTCAAAGAACTTTGGATGAGGCAAGGTGAATAAATGAATGAAATGTGCAAATGTTGTGCCCCTGCTTAGCATTGTTATTTGTTATGTTGCCCCCTCAGTCTCTGTATTTAGAACTTCTTTCATTTCCCCTCTGGATCTGTTAGCATCCTGTGGATCTACAGTGGTACCTTGGTTTGCAAGCTTTTTGGATTACAACTGTTTTGGATTACAACCACGTCAAACCCAGAAGTGTGTGTCCCTTTTTTTGGATGACAACCCATTTTTTTTTTGGAGGCCCCATTAGTGAAATCGCACCTTGGGTTACAACCTGTTTTGGTTTACAACCGGACCTTCAGAATGGATTATGGTTGTAAACCAAGGTACCACTGTACTCTTGTGTAGTGCCCTGCATTGATTAGCTATTCCTGTGGAGAATATCTAGATCAGTTCAGTTCTCCTCAGAAGAACAGCCTCCCAGTGGCCTTGCTCTCGGCCACTTGAGCTGCAGCTTGGAAGACCAGGCCTTGCATTCTCTTTTCTCCTCATCCAAACTATCTCTTTTGTGTCACCGAAACTCAACCACCCATTAACCAACCAAGTATTTGATCAGCTAGTTGTTTGTTGCTCGAGTTGTGTTATCAACAAAGTTGAAGATGAATCTGCATGAGAGTCTGAATCCCATGTATGTTTAGCTAACAGGATAAAGTGGTTCACACCCCAATGTGTGTTGATACCAGAACCTTATGTGTGATGGAGAAACTTTTTAAAAATACGTTGTGTTACCCCAGCTGTAGGATGGACCATAGATCTACGTTGAATTAAATCCCTATCACCTTCAGTTAGCTCACAGAACTATTTTAGCTGGGCTCCAAGACATGTTTAAATTTAGAAACCTTATCAAAATGGAGGTGGTCAGGTTATCTCAGACGAATGTCTCATGACACTATGTACCTGGGAAATAAATTAAAAACAAAAGTACTCTTGATTATTAAAGGTTGTTGTATGATGTCTTTGTGTGGGTTCAGGGAGTACCTTTATAAATTTTCTGTGTAAGAGAGTTTTAACTCCACTATCTGTGGGGTGTCCTCTAAGCTGGGGATCACTGTACTACTGCCAAGTAGAAGAGAAAATTGGGAAAGAGAACATAAGGAAATCTATTTGCAGTTGTTTATCCAACGTTGGGTGTTTTTATTAGCACACTAGATCAGAAGCAGCAGTCAGTTACTTCAGAATGCTTTTAGTCAAACAGTGTGGGAAGAGAAACCCTACCTCTCCATTTCTTATGCGCTTGGCCTGTGATTTATTATTTTTTAAATGGAAATGTTCTGACATTCTGTCCCCATTAAGAACGAAGAAAACCTTTGGCACACCAGAACTTTCTTTAGGATGGAAATTCCATTTTTGAAGCAGATCTCAAGGGTGTGCGGGGCTATCCAAGGGATGAATCTACCCTGATAGAAGCATAAATGGTGCTGTTTTGATAGTTGCATACTGAATGAATTCAGCAGCTGTTTAAGTTTCCAGCTGCTGACCCAGTAGTCTCGCAGAATATCATGCCTGACCTTGAGCTAACCAAGATCCCTGGAGCCTTTGCCTGAAATATTAACTTTTCATCCACTTGAGGGAAAGGGGGGCTGGGCTAGGGGAGGCATTCACTTTCTGTGAACGTATCCCTTCAGCCTTATTTGGGGCCTGCACTACTTTGCCTTCACCCGTTCACTTCAAGGGAAGGTTTTTGTTTTCTTTTTCTGTCTCCACTGCTGTGGTCGCCATCTTTCTTTACAAAGGACACATAGTTCTTCTTGTCAAATCAACAGTGTTCTGTACGTAATTCTTTTAGCGTCGAGGAACATGCCGAAAGGAGGTATTTGGGTAGCTTTGACAAAATGTGCATTGAATTGATAGGTTTGAATGGGCAAAGTGCAACTCGAGGTGGCAATTGAGATTTATAGATAAATAATGAAAAGAAGCCATTTAGGGTTTGTTTTTAGTTGGTTTTTTTTGTTTTGTTTTTTACCCAGTGGGCTCCAGTGGTTTTTAGTGGGTAGGCTTGTTTGAATGTGCGTATTCAGCAAATTGTCATGGAAGGATAGAATTTCTGTGGAAATATATATACAAGTCAAGTTGCAGAAATAAAAAAGTAAAACTAGTTTATTTCCCTCTTTATTCAGTGTTTCCATTTGAACCTATTAGTAAACCATAGTTTGGTGTTAGATGCATGAACCTACTGTCCCACTTCTGGAATGGCCATGAGGAAGAGATATGAAGCATTTGCTCCTTTCTTCAACTAAATACGGTTTGTCATCATGTCAAAATCTGGAAACGTGGCTAGTTTTAACTATGGTTTATCCTGACAAGCCAGTTTGGAATTGATTTATTACATTAGCTGTAATATAGCATAGTATACAGGCAGTGACCAGTTTAGGCGCATCCAATATGTGCCTGACTGCGCACGTGCGCATCACACCAAATCCGGAAGTGACCAGAAAACGTCACAAAAAGGGGCGGTGCAGGGTGGAATGAGGGTTTTCAGGCGTTTTCAGTGGTGTTTCAAATATACATGATTTCATTTAAACGTGAGGTGCCTTGGAACGTAACCCCACACACATTGGGAGTTGCCTGTAGTATAGTATCAAAATAAAGAAAAAACATCTGGATTTACAACCAGAAACAGTATTCATGACTCCAAGAGCATTGGCTATTCTTCTACAGTTCCCCACAACATATTGTTGTGAACAGGGAATTTCAACTCTGACAAATATGAACTATCAGAGAAAAGTGTGGTCCAGAGAATAACGTTTGAGAACCACTGCCTTAAACTAATGACACACTATGGTAGTTGGAAATGGGATGGCAGCCGGCATCCCGCCCACCAGCCAGAGCTGGCTCACTGAGGTGGTGGTCTACTTTTATCTAGTTTTGCTCAACCCTTCCTTGATAGGGTCCAGGATCACTGAGGTTTTCCAACGCCTCAAAACTCCTCCCTGCAAAGGGTTTCAGAATCACCAGTATAATGGTATTTAATGTCTCCCTAGCAGAGAGATGGAGAAACTGCAACCCTCTGCCAAACTACAACTCATATCATCCCTGATCATTGGCCATGTTGGCAGGGACTGATTGCAGCTGGAGTTTGACAACATAGGGATGCTTCCTTTCCCTACCCTAGCAGTCAGGTTCTTAGCCTAAGACATTTTACAGGTAACTCACCTGCTGCACTCTGGAGTGCTTCCTGAGCTTTCTCCTGCCCAGGTTTCCTTTACCTCTGCATCTGAATAACTTCTCAGCTTTGAAAGAAGACCGTGACTTTGCCCTGTTTATTGGGAGCAGGAGTTTGACTTAATTTCAAGGATTCCTGAATAAAGCCCAGTGTCAACTGCCCTGAGGTCCACAGCACAAAACATTAGGAGCTTGCATCTGCATTCAGTTTGCCACCTTATCTTTTGCTTGTTTGCTTTCCTCTTCTGTTTGCTTTAGCCCCCTTGAGTCAAACACTGCGGTCTCCCTTCTCTTCACTTTCCAGCTCAGTGGGAGCTTTGCTACGGACACCGGTGTGCAAGCCAGGACTTCCTTCTATATTTCTTCAGGCACACAAGGTTTCTCTGACCCACTGAGTGCCAGTGGTGGAGATTAATTCTCTCCAGATGTAGCTGAATTAGACAACATTTTTTCCAGGTCTGGGACATAAAATACACAGGCCTCTATTTGATACCAGAAAAGGGACTTCTGAAACATACGTTGTTGTAAATATTCATGATGCATAAGATGAATTTCATGACAGCATCATGTGAATTTTCAGAGCACTGCAGTCAGGGGCTCCTTGCTCATATGTTGGGATAGCTCATCAGTTCTCCAACCTCTAGCACAATTCCATGCTTCCCAGCCTAGCTGACTGAACGATGCCCTTTATATTTCAGTGTATACCTCCTCACTTCAGACAGTGTAAGCTTTTCTCCAGAGCTGTTTAGTAACCTGAACAGTAGAGGTGGGGTTTTATTTCTCCTGTCAAAGGCTGCACTCCCTTGGGGGACTCTGATTGGGGCTACTTGCTGGGAGTATAATGTACTGGTTGCATTGCCCTTTCATACACCAGGGCTAGTTTCTGGGCAGCTCACAAAATAAAAAACAGTTTAAAGACAACTATAAAAATATGCAGCGCAGTAGGCAGATTGCAGCATTAAAACAGCTCCAAGCTAAAATACAGAGCAAGATGAAAGATGAAAGAGCAGGGAATAAAACAGCTAAGAGAAAGTTGCAGCTAGCTTTTGAAAGCCTAGGAAGAGAAGAGTTTCACTAGGTCCTGAAAAGACAATAGCAGTATGATCCTAGACATGTCTACTCAGTCGTGTCACTTAGAATTATTTCCAGGCAAGGAGCCACAAGGCTTTGCTGCACTCCTGGGTAGTGATATAGAATTGCAGTACAAAGAGGGTGCCAGGTGAGCTTTCCTGGGAAGTATATTCCACAACCAGGGTTCCACCACTGGAAAATCCCCTTTAACTTGTAAAAGAGGTACCCAAAGAAGAACTTTGAATATAGATTTTAGGTTCCAGGTAGGTACATGTGGAAAGACGTCTGGTCTTCCGTGTCAAGGTTTTTCTTGTTACAGGTAGGTAGCCGTGTTGGTCTGCCATAGTTGAAACAAAACAAAATAAATAAATAGAATTAAATAAAAAAATTCCTTCCAGTAGCACCTTAGAGACCACCTAAGTTAGTTATTGGTATGAGCTTTCTTTTGCATGCACACTTCTTCAGATACCTTCTTCCATTTTATGCAGCTCAATGTGGGGCCTTCCATAGTGCTAGTTACAGGTAGGTAGCTGTGTTGGTCTGCCATAGTCGAAACAAAACAAAACAAAATAAATAAAAGAAAAGAAATTAAAAAATCCTTCTAGAGACCAACTAAGTTAGTTATTGGTATGAGCTTTTGTGTGCAATGCACACTTCTTCTTCCTAAACATGTATTCTTCTAGGCAACAGCAAAAGTAGTTTGTGCACAAACTGGTATTCCTGTGTAAAGACACTAGGAAGTAACTTTTGCATCACTGACAGAAACTGCTTTTATGGCCACAGGTTCAATGTCTTTATCTGAATTCTCTTCAGCCAGTTGAATACAGTCTGGCACCAGGCAACCATGTCTGTGCAGTTAGATGCCAAGAAGAGACTCTGCCTGGATGCTTTAAATTCCAAACCTGTTTTCTTGCAAGTGTAATATTTACCAGGTTTCACTTCAGCTGGGAATGCAGAAAGACCGTTTGGGGGCGGGGAGGGGGAGGAGGAGAGCAGGGAGAGAACAAAAGAGTGGCTCTGATATAGATGGAGTTGGTGCTTTTGTCAAATTGGTGCTGTGATGTTTTCTGGGGTTACAATGTTCACCCCTCATTTACAGCCTCCAGTTGTTGATTCCTTTTGTAAAGGAGGAGTGGAAAGGGGAGAATTCACTTAGGGACTGTGATCCTACTTCAGCAAAAGAATGTGAGAAGCAGTTTTATCAAAAAGAAGGAAAGACGTGGTGATTTGGCTTTCTGTGGCAGCACCACTGTTTCCCATATTTGGAGAGTGCCATCCATTGCAATCTGTGGTTCCTGTTTTCTGCTGTGTGGGCTGGTAGGGATTCGGGGCCAATTTGCATGTCACAAGCTTAGTATAATCCCATCTGAGTGGATTGGGTTGGGGAGATGTGTATGAATTTACCTTCCATGTTTTCTCACATTTTTTCATGTCCGATAGTGGTTACGTGCCTAGTTTATGCTTTGTTTTCCTTCTTCCTTTTATAATAATAATAATAACAATAATAATAATAATATTTTATTATTTATACCCCGCTCATCTGGCTGGGCTTCCCCAGCCACTCTGGGCAGCTTCCAACAAAATATTAAAATACAGTAATGCATCAAACATTAAAAGCTTCCCTAAACAGGGCTGCCTTCAGATGTCTTCTAAAAGTCTGGTAGTTGTTCTCTTTGACATCTGGTGGGAGGGTGTTCCACAGGGTGGGTGCCACAACCGAGAAGGCCCTCTGCCTGGTTCCCTGTAGCTTGGCTTTTTGCAGTAATGGAACTGCCAGAAGGCCCTCAGCACTGGACCTCAGTGTCTGGGTAGAATGATGGGGGTGGAGACGCTCCTTCTGATATACTGGACCGGGGCTGTTTAGGGCTTTAAAGGTCAGCACCAACACTTTGAATTGTGCTTGGAAATGTATTGGGAGCTCAGAAATGTATATGAAAGGGTTCCTTCACTGTCTCCTATTAGCCAGTCAGGAATCCTGTAGCGAACATAGAATCATAGAATTGTAGAGTTGGAAGGGACTACAAGGGTGATCTGGTTCAACTCCCTGCAAGTTGATGGGGTTACACCTCACATCATATGTCCCTTTCATGCATTTGTCACACATAGGACCATCACACATAAAAATGGGGAGCAAGGCCACCCCACTGACCCAAAACCCAGCGTTGCAGTGCCCCACCATCAACATCCAGTGGGATGTATATTTAGATCCACACCCCCACTCACTTTCTGTCTTTGAGAGGATGACCCATAGCCATCTCACTAGGCAGTTATGAAAGGGCAAGGAGTTGTTCACTTTTTAGCTTAGTATTACAGTCATACCTTGGATCCGAACGCCTTGGTACTCGGACGTTTTGGCTCCTGAGTGCCACAAACCCGGAAGTGAGTGTTCTGGTTTGCAAATGTTCTTTGGAACCCAAACATCTGACGGGACTTCCATGGTTTCCAATTGGCTGCAGGAGCTTCCTGTAGCCAATCAGAAGCCGCGTTTTGGTTTCCGAATGTTTTGGAAGTCAAATGGACTTCCGGAACAGATTCCATTCGACTTCCAAGGTACAACTGTATTGCTTTTTTTTGTGCCAGGGATGGGAGAGAAACTTGTGGAATTAACTTGGCTAACCATAGATACTATGTACCTTGATGTGGGAATGCAGAACTTTGCTGGTGCTCCTCAGATAGCAAACTGTTGTGGGCCAGACCTTTGGGGAGCCTTAGCCTGGTTGCCTTGGTAGAAGAGTGGCAAGGGGATGTGAACTTGTCCCCTTGGTAGCAGTTTTGCATCTTTCACAAAAGGTCTGTTACAAACGGCCCAATAAATTGCATTATTATTATTATTATTATTATTATTATTAAAATTTGTATACCGCCCTATACCCGCAGGTCTCAGGGTGGTTCACAGGATAAAATCAGAATATAAAACCACAAAATATATAATCAAAATGAAAACAAAAGCAACCCAATAACATCCCAGTTCCATCGACAGGTTCAGCACTTAAAGATGCAGTACGATTATCCAGGTATTCAGAGCAATTGCCAAACTCTATGTGTGTCTTGGATAGCCTTAACTGCTGTCAAACATAAGCAACATTGGATTGGTCCTTGTAACTAGGGTTGCCACCTCTACTCTGGGAGTGGGGGAAGTGGCGGAAATCCAGATCATATTCATTTATATATCTTCATTTATTGAAAGGTTTGCCTGTTCCAGAGTAAGGAATTTGAAACAGTGCCCTGCTGACGGTGGAATAAATTTATTGGATCAAACAATTAAAATCAAAATCCCTATTATGCTGGTTTAAAACTCTGTAGGAAATAACCTTGTATGCGAAAGCATACATTTGCACATAGCGCATCTAGCCACAATACTTTCCAAGGATGGAAATGGGGAAGGTAGTTCTTTGATCATTGCTGGAACATTTGCGTTCAAAAATAGGATCAGCAAATGAATAATGAGCCCAAGTCATTTTCCGTTCATTTGCTTAGTAATTAGAATTACAACAACTGGAAATGGCTGCCATAAGCTGATTTTGTTTGTGACAGTCAGATGTCACGAATGCTGCATTGCGTTTGACCATCTTTGCAGTTCTAAAAGAAGAAATACGGCCGTTTCCCAGGCTTTAGAACTGAAAGGAATTGGAGCAAGTTGCCAGTTATCTCCAGACAAGACAAACATATTAGCTTTTTCAAGACTGCAGTCTGTGGAAGGCGCTGCAAAAAAATAAAATAAAAAAAGTTTTATTGAAAATAACTTGTAAATCAAAGAACAAGGGATGTTTTTATTGTAAGGAATTAATTAAGGAGGGAAGTGACTCAGTGCTCAGAGGGAGGAACATTTAGTTATATATTTATTTATTTATTTTCCTGCCATTATAGACCATCCTTTTTTCCAAGCTGGCACACATGTGGTTTCCAGGTGGCTGCCCATCCAGACACTGACCAGATCCAGATCTGCTTAGCTTCAACAAGGTGGTGGCCTCATGTGCTTTCAGACCATATCCTGGGAATAAGGCTTTTCCAAGGGAAAATGGGTTCATAACTCAGTCGAACCACTGGTCAAGTGGAATAATTGCCACTGAAATTGACTATACCACTCTAATGACTACCCTACCCCAGAAGTCAAGAACTTCTTTGAAATAGAGCCAGTGCAGGAGAACTTCTCAACAGAGATTCATGCTCCTGCTTTAATAGCAGTGCAGACAACTGTGGAAAGCTGCCATTACACAGTGGCAAACCTGAATCCACGTGTTTCTTTTACCTGCTACATTTTTAGATTTACACCTGAAAACCTAACCTGTGCCAAAAGTCAGAGTCGAGTTCAAATATCTTTAAGAAGGAGATAGAAGCCCAGTAGGTACTATTGATATTTGCATATTGGTTGGCAACCGCCTGTCTCAGGAGACAATGAAAGAGCTCACATTTTGGGAATGAAGTTAAACCGTTGGAGAGTTATAGCTCCCACTGTGGCTGTAGAGATATGGGAGAGACATGTTTTATTGTGGAGCAGATGAAGATGTCCAGTTTTGCTGATGCAGGTATACCATGGCATTTTAAACCCGGAAACATGCTGTTTCGGAAAAGGTAGAAAAACAGGCCCAACTCTGCTTCAAAACTAAAAGTGTATTGTTAAGTTCTTTGATTTGCTTTCAAGGATGGAAGTCATCTTTTACATGGACTCAGGCAGCCCAACAAGCAGTGAAGTTAGTCTATATAGTATTGTTGACCAGTAAATATTTTAAATTAATTAATACATTTATATCCTGCCATTCAATGCATGTGTTTCCAGCATGACTAACAAAGTCACATCATCATCATCATCATTATTTACAAACAAAAAACAATAAAAGCTTTTGGTTAAAAACCAAAACAACTGTCAGGAGCAGGTCAGCAATGACTCACATGGTGCCAGTGAAGTTAACTCTTTATTCAAAGAAGCAAGACAGCTCAGGAGGCCAGGCCCAGTGAGCACAGCAACTCTTCCTGGTAGATCTTGCCCCAATGTGGGGCTGAAGTTCCTTGTCTCCCCACAATTTCCTAATTCTCCTTCTTCCTCCAGTTACTTCCCAAGCAATCTGATACTTCGCCACCTTGTCTTCAGCAGCCTTCCTCAGCTCTGCCTTTTGGCACTCCTCCTCTCCAGCCTCCTGAAAATGCAGGCGTCTCCTTGCATTGAACAACCCAGAAGATAGGAACCCAATCTGAGAAGACCCATTCCTAGTCATTGCCAGCCTTACCTCAGACAGTTGGGGAGGGAGATTCAGGAAAGGCTTCTGCAGATGATGTGAAGTGCATCAGCAGGTGGATGTAGACATTGGTTTGTATTACTGATCCCCACCCCATCCCCAAGTCGGTTCAAAGGCAGCCCCACATACAACACATTTGCAGTAATGTCACCTGGAGGTTACCTGACCAGACTATTTTCTGCCTCACATTCCAAACAAAGCAGCACCCAGGCTACAGCTGGAAAGCAAATTCTTTGTCCAGGTACCTACCACACACCCAGGCTTCCTTTTCCTTTAGTAAATGTATCTAATATACGCCACTACAGAAGAAATGAGAAATGCACGTGTTAAAGTTAAAAATCTTGTGTTCATAGGGTTTACAGTTAAACCAAGCTCTGGAGTAAGAATTATTTACAGAAACTACTATGATAGGAGGGTGGCGATGTGGGTTAAACCACAGAGCCTAGGGCTTGCTGATCAGAAGGTCAGCAGTTCGAATCCCCGCAATGGGGTGAGCTCCCGTTGTTCAGTCCCAGCTCCTGTCAACCTAGCAGTTTGAAAGCACGTCAAAGTGCAAGTAGATAAATAGGTACTGCTCCAGTGGGAAGGTAAACGGCGTTTCCGTGCACTGCTCTGGTTTGCCAGAAGCGGCTTAGTCATGCTGGCCACATGACCTGGAAGCTGTCTGTGGACAAACGCCGGCTCCCTCAGCCTATAGAGCAAGATGAGTGCCACAACTCCAGAGTCGTCCACAACTGGACCTAACGGTCAGGGGTACCTTTACCTTTTTACTATGATAGAGCTAACAGTTTCCATTGTTCTTTGTTTATGCATTCAGGTGGACAGTTAGGTTTGACTGATTTGGTTTGGTCCACTTTCAGCTCTGATGAGGGCCCACAGTATGAAGGGATCCACAGCTCTCCTGCTTATCTGTTTGCTTCCTATCAACAGCACATCATTCATTCTATCTCTAGGCCCCCTGTGACTTAGTCTCCCATTTTTCTTTGGGTCCTCCTTTACCATCTTTTGATCTCCCCCTCTTCCATCCCTTCATCTCTCATGTCCCTGCTTCTGTTGCCTTGGGTGTGGGTACTACAAAAATAACAACCATGGTCAAGCCCAGTAGTTATGCCTGCTTGATGATGTTGGTAAGGAAGCCCTGAAGGACTGTGTAGCGCAGTGCATGCAAATCGCCACAGGTTCACATCTAGGCCTGTGAAATAATCTGAAACCATAGAGAGATCTGTAGCTAGTCGTTGTAAAGACCTAGACGGACCACTGGCCTGAGTCCTTTATTAAGGAAGCTTCCTATGCATGCCCCTTCGTGCCGTTGCTAGAAGGATATGGATACTGAAGGATTTGGATACTGTGACTGGATTACGGGAAAGGGATCAAGAAATAATGACCATGGAAGAAGGATAAGAAACCGTGAATTAGAGTAGACAGGTTAAATGGCATGCTGGCAGAGTGTCTTTCTCTGCTCTGCGGAGTAGTATTGCAGTACACTATTGAAGGATGTTGGCAGGATAGTATTACATACAGTTTTGCATTATGGACAAATAGAGGGATGCAGTCCAACAGTTGTTGTTTTTTTAAATCACTAAAGCTATATTCAACCCCCACTCCTATCAGCCACAGGCCTTGGTTTTAAAAAGTTATAAAAATAATTTATTCAGGTTATTAGCTTTCAGGAGAACCCTCAAACTGAAGTTCATTTGGCTATATAGCTAAAGGCTTGAGTTTTCTGTAAATGTAAATTATTACATTAGTAATAATAGTTACTATCACCATCATGCTGTTCATCATGATTTTATTCATCTATCCATCCCACACACATTTATTTCCAGTTATCCAGATGTCCCTGGAGGTTAATCAAGAAACAGTTAAAATGTTTCTAGGGTTTTATTGTTTAAAAACATTTTACAAAAGCAAGAACATTGTGAGGGTTGAAAGGAGCAGATTTGGGGTGGACTCCCCTGCACTAAGGTGGAGACACATAAACACAACAGTATAATGAGCCCAGCTGAATTGTGAAATAGCTTGAGAATGTCGTTTTACTGCCATTTCCTTGATTTCAACACTACCAAGTTTGTCATGGATGACGGCTTTGTGGTTCTTGTGACACTGCTGGAGAAAATTGGATTTGGAGAAAGTTTATTTAGCTCTCTAAATAATTCAAAATGTTTTCAATTTGTCTTTCCCCCAGCACAGCATGCTTCAACTGTGCCTTACATTTCATACAATGTAAGAAGAGTAACTATCTGTCCTCTTCTTATTACCTCCGGGTTTGGTTTGCTTTCCCAGGAGTGATGTGGGAGAGAGTGGTGTTCAAAGCATTTTCTTGGATGTGGAACCACACTTGTAGCTACAAGTCCTTTGACACAGGCAGCTATAATAATGAAGCTGTGAGTGTTTGTTCAAAGAGGGAGCCCACTGTCCTAGCAATACATAAGAAAAACTCAGCTCTGTGAAGTAAGTCAGGTTGCCTGATCTTGGGTCATGGCCTGGCAGGACCACAGGCAACCAACATTGTTGAGGGCAGGTCAGAGGGCAGGTTTTAGAGTGGACAGACAAGGATCCTAAGGGCTAAAGACAGATGTGGTCTAAAATGAGCTGGTGGTCAAATTCTGGAAGCAACCTTGAAGAAGTATCTATATAGTGATTCCGGCCACTCTTGAATCCCAATGTCACATGGTCTAGCTGGGCTGATGAGTCACTTTTTGGCCATTATATAGGTGACACTGTTCCTCAGCAAAGATCAGGCTATTAACTCCCCAAGCCTCAGTGCTGTCCTGGTGGCATAGTGAGTAAGGTGCCTGGACCCTACTCTCATGCCTTATTTGTAAGACTTGGGTCACATCCACACAATAACTGAAGGAGCATCTCCACCCCCATCGTTCAGCTCAGACACTGAGATCCAGCGCCAAGGGCCTTCTGGCGGTTCCCTCATTGTGAGAAGTGAGGCTACAGGGAACCAGATAGAGGGCCTTCTCGGTAGTGGCGCCTGCCCTGTGGAACGCCCTCCCATCAGATGTCAAAGAGATAAACAATTACCTGACATTCAGAAGACATCTAAAGGCAGCCCTGTTCAGGGAAGTTTTTAATATGTAATGCTGTACTGGTTTTAACACTTGATTGGGAGCCGCCCAGAGTGGCTGGGGAAACTCAGCCAGATGGGCGGGGTATAAATAATAAATTATTATTATTATTATTATTATTATTATTATTATTATAGCTCCAAAGAATCTTGGGAACTGTGGTTTATCCCTCACAGCAATTCCCAGCACCGCTGGCAAATCACATTTCTCAGAATTCTGTGGGGGAAGCAGTGTGTTTTAAATGCATGGTGTGCCTGTTACCTAACCTTATGGAACCAGGTTATTCCAGTTTCAGCATCATAGAGAATTATCTGTGGTGGAATTCATCTGTGGTGGAATCATGATTCAGTCCAGATAACTTTGTGCTTGCATGATACCTGTCAGTGTCAGGCAATTAACTGACTGAAAATAAATTTATGCAGGCTGTAACCCTATACCTGGGAGTAAGCCTCATTGAACTTAATGTGACTTACTTCTGGGAGGTGTATCGGAATAAAGAACTCCTGTGAGCCCAGAGTAGCCATCCACAAATACAGTTCTCCAGGGTTCACAGCTTTGCACTTGGGCTACATAGGAACTTGCACTGTGCCAGGCCAGACTTATTTTTTTCCATCTCCCCAATATTTGCCATTTTTACTGGTAGCAACGCTGCAGACTCTGGCAGAGATCTTTTGCATCAGCTGTCAGGGGCCGGAGTCAGGGGCAAGACAGCAATAAAACACCCAGTGTCGGTAAAGTTAATTCTTTATTCAAAGAATCCAAAACAGCTCAGGCCTAGTGATCACAGTAGGTCTTGCCCCAAGAAGGCAGTTGCAAGGACTGAAGGTCCCCGCCTTCCAACCACTCTCTAAGACTCCTCCCTTGGGTCCTTCTCCAGCAACTTGAGGCAACTTCGTCTTGCCTCTCTTTGCTCTTCTCTCTTTGTTCCTCTCTGTGTTCTGGGAGACCACAGGTGAGGGAAGCTGGTTTCAGAGGAGGAGGAACCTCCCTGGCTTCTTCAGCAGGCTTCCCTGCGTCCACTCTGCCTCTTGACCCCCATCTGCTGCTGCCTCTGATTCTGGACTGCTCTCTGCAGCACTCTTCCTGCTCACTAAACCCTGTTACCTCTTCACCTCCTTCCAGCCAGCTCCCTCTTCTCTCTCTGACCACTCATCACCATCCCACCACCAGTCCCCTTCCCTTGGGGGTTCTCCAGCTGGTGCCACCCCACTCCTCTTTGTCCAGCCAGTCCCTGACACCACGCAAGCCTTTTAACTAGAGATGCTGCAAATTGGACCTGGGACCATCTGCATTGAAAGCATATGTTCTACCACTGAGCCATGATTCGTTGATTGGAATGAGGGCAAGCCCAGAGCACTGTAGGGCCCAGCTTCCTTTGAGAGTAGGTGTTTTTTTACTCCTGCGTATTCTAAAAGAAAAATGTCCAGGTGAAAGAATAAAGTGGGCTTCTGGTTTTAATTCATTATTTTATTTTTTAAAAAAACAAGTTCCTCACTCATCTCCTCCTCTAACGTTTGAAGTCGGGGCTGAGGCATGTGTTCACTTTTGTAGCCGAGAGGAGTGGTGCAATTTCTGGAGACTTGAGGAAGTTCCCTCCCAACCTGCTGGATGGCCCCCAGAATCCTCAAATATTATGACCTACATACTGAACTGAGAATGTTTGTGTAGATTTCGGCTAGTTCTAAAAGCAAATCCCAATGCTGTGTTCCCTTTCTCTGCTTCATGGCTCCCTATATCTAGAACATATAAGCAAATGGACAGGAAGGAGCCAGCAAAAAGTAAATGGATGATTTTATATAAGCTAGCAAAGAGGGTAGGCACATTACTAGCTCTGTAAGTGGCCTAGTTCACAGATAATGCTGAACTATAATTTAGTGCTATGTGCATGAGCTGGAAAAGGCCTAAGCCTTCTCTCTTTCCACGCTGGCCGGAGAAGGAGTTTGTTTGCTGTTAGCTTCACTTTCCATGAATCTTAGCTTGTTGTGATGCACACATTAGAGACGATGGTTTAAAACAAGCAAGCGTACGTCAACCTACCGTTCAAGAAACTGTCTTGTTAAACTCCCTACAATTTAAGTTGCAATCTTTTGTGCGTACGTAATGACAAGCCAAAATTCATGGAAAGTGACACTAAATGTGAACACAGGCCTTCTCTTGGGCACATGGCAGGAGGAGAGGGAGGGGCACACAAATTTGGGGCTTCGTTGAGACTTAATTCCTGCTTGTTTTACCATCTGAACCAGGGATTATGTTTAATAGGCTCTCAATAAACCACAGTCTCGTTCTGATCTAACTGATCGTGGTTTGTTGGAGCAAAACCAACCACTATCTTTGGTTTGGGTACAACACTAAGCCAAGGATCGTGGTTGTTCCATCTATACAAGAGCACGGTGGAGTAAAAAGGACCTGAAAGGTGCAGTTGTGGTGAAGCCCTAAAGTGTGGTTTCTCATAATGTGCAAATGAAGCCAGAATTGGTCAGCATAGATAACACAGGGACAGATGGATAAATTGTAGTGTGACCTGTTACAGGACAGCTTTCTTTGTTCCAGTTTCTCAGCGGAGAAAGAGAACCCTTGAAAATGTCATTTTAGATGCCATGCCATCAAGCCACTAAGAAAAGGCTTTTATTTTAGAACTTTTCTCCTCCTTGCAAATATGGCAGTGGGTGAATCTAATAATAATAATACTTAACATATGTTTAACACTTTGGAGTGCATTATGTAGTTGTAATCCTTAACAACCCTGTCAAGTTTAGGATTACAACTAGCTAATGCACACGAACCACTTTGAACACCCAAAAGCACTGTGGAGATGTCAAATATTATTAGATTTACAGTGTAAAGTAAGCCAGTATTATTATTTCCCCACATTGCAGAGGGGGAGAGTGGAACTGCATTTGGTTTAAAAGCCAATATATAAAGCATATTGCAGTCCTTTGTGCAAAGAAGCAAACTAGGCAGGGATTCTTCCATTAACTGTGGTTTGCCATTTCATATGAATCAGTAAACCATGGCTAACTGTTTGGAACAAATCTGAATATTATCTCATAGTTTGAAGTTGGGTAGTAGCCTTCCTGGCTTGTTCTGAAGCTGTAAACCACAGCAATAGTTCAAACAAACTGGGAAACTTTAGATAATGGAAGAAAAAATTCCTAGTTGGCTGGCTTGAGCAAAGAGTCCAGGTCAGAAGGATCAATCATATCTCAGTTTCTGAGCCAATATATGATCATCCATACTCACCCTGATGTTGAGAGAGAGAGAGAGAATAAGTTGCCAAAGGCCACCTAGTGAGGTCATGGCAGAGTAAAAGTTTGAAATGGGCATTTATGGGTTCATAACTCAGTTTCTCAGCCATTACACTACACTAGCTCAATGGCCAGCTCAACCAACTTTGCACAACCAAGCTAGAAGATCTACCTTTTGCCAGTAAAAGGAGGGTCAGCTTGCATCCTCCTCCTCCTCCTGTTTCCTAGGAGCAGATAGGAGACAGGGTTGTGACTCACACACATTAATCCAAGATGGAAAAGGAGCAGCGCTTCATGGAAGAAGATGAAAGACTTGTGGATATATATTTTTATTTGATTTAGAAAAAAAAAAGATTCCAGCATAAGCAGAATAGCAAAGTGCATACCTGAGAATTTTCCAAACACAACACACATTGACTTGCATATTTGATTTCGGCAGCGATACATGAGAGCCTGGGATATTGCAGGCCAAGGATGCGAGTCTGATGGTGATTTGGAAGGAGCTTTGCCTTTCTCAGATGTTCTGGCAAAACGTGAAGGACTTTTTGTTGCTCGTCTGAAATAGCAGAGGAGAACATGGACAGCCTAGACAGTGCTAGAAATGCCTCTGCCAGCCTCAGTTGCCAAGAACTTGACTTAGGTGCAAGAGAAGCTGCCTTATACTTTGCTTTATACCCTTTGGGTCATCTTGCTTAGTATCTTTCCACACTGACTGGCTGTGGCTCTCCAGATTTTTAGACAATAAGAGATGACGTCTATTGAACCTTGGACCTACTGCTCCATCACAGAGCTGTAGCCCTTTCCAGAGAGCCTAACTCTCAGGTTAAAGGTAAAGGAACCCCTGACCATTAGGTCCAGTCATGACCGACTCTGGGGTTGCGGCGCTCATCTCGCTTTATTGGCCAAGGGAGCCAGCGTACAGTTTCCGGGTCATGTGGCCAGCATGACTAAGCTGCTTCTGGCAAACCAGAGCAGTGCATGGAAACGCCGTTTACCTTCCCGCTGGAGCGGTACCTATTTATCTACTTGCAATTTGACGTGCTTTCGAACTGCTAGGTTGGCAGGAGCTGGGACCAAGCAACGGGAGCTCACCCTGTCGTGGGGATTCGAACCGCCGACCTTCTGATCGGCAAGTCCTAGGCTCTGTGGTTTAACCCACAGCACCACCTGCGTCCCAACTCTTGGGTTATTAACATCCTAATGTCCCTTATTTATCAACTGCTGTTCATTAGGAGAGGTGTAGAGTCAATCATTGTGGAGAGTCTTCCCACTTCGTATGTGATGGACCAGCTTCTACTTGTCACTGCTGATAAGTCCAGTGTGTGTGTGTGTGTGTGTGGGCGGACGGGCTGTTATTTTATGCCAACTACCACCACGTTAGTTGAATTTCAAAACCTTCTAACTGCTGCTGCCATGTATCTAAACCATGGTGTTTGTCAAAGCCTTAATCTATAACCCAGTAGACGTGGTACAAAATCAGCCCAACTCAAGTTATAAGTAAAAAAAAAAAAAAGAAGTTGCTCTTTCATTATTATTAACCATAAAGAGAGGGGGAAATGTAAATACTATACATACCGTATATTGGTTACAGTTTCTTTTAAGACTTGCACTTGTAAGGTTACTGTTATAATTAGCAACAGCTTGCAAATACAAAAGCTTGCATGAGGCTTGCTGTTAAAATCTTAGTTTATTTTCCTATTAAATCCTGTGTGCTAATTACATACCCTCCAAAATTTATCTGATGAAAATAGGGACATCCCATTATATAATGATAATTTTACTATTTGTACCCCACACATCTTACTGGGTTGCCCCAGCCACTCTGGGCACCTTCCAACATATATAAAAACATAATAAAACATTAAACATTAAAAAAAAAACCTTCCCTAAACAGGATTGCCTTCAGATGGCTCAGGAGTAGGATAATTCCATACCCTCCAACATTTCTCCAATGAAAACTGGGACATCCTAAGGAAAAGTGGAACATTCCGGGATCAAATCAGAAACCGGGACGGCTTCTCTAAATTTGGGACATTCCTTGGAGGGTCTGTAATTACCCGTAGCCCATTTTCTCAGGACAGTCAGTCTTGCCAGGAGTCAGTCTCACAGAGGCCTTCTGCTGGTTTTCTATTAGCCAAGCTTGCAGGCAATTCTCTCTCTGGTCCTTGCTGAACTTTTCCTTGCTGCTCACAGTCCTTTGATGACCTCTCTGCCAATCTTCAGCTTAAGATAGTGATTCAGCTCTTTTGTGGGGAGGGCAGGCTATTTTACCAGACTGTTCCTAGCCTCTTAATTAGTCGCTTTCCTATCTTCCACCTGCTTCAACTCCAGCCTTCTCTCCTAGCTGCTTCTTGTGGTCCATAGTGTCAGACAGTCTCACACTCCCTCTGAACAGAGTAAAAACTATCCAGCCCGCCTACCATTCAACCAATCAGATTTGAGTGGCATAGAATTCTAGGTCACTTTGATCCAGGCAACAGGCCCTCAGGATTCTTATTATTACCAAACTGTTTTGGAGACAGTGACAGAATATGTGGAATGGGGGTAGTGAATGTGGTACCCTCTGGCTTTTGTTGGATTTCAACTCCCCTCCTCCCCAATCAGCACAGCCGATGATGAGAGTTGTAGTCCAACAACATTTGGAGGACACACCATGTTGGCAGATGTAAGAAGGAAAAATCCATGTTTGGTTGTCAAGAAATTTACAAGCCTTTACACAGCGGCCACCAATGGACCCTTCTGGTTTTGCGAAGGGGGTGAGAAGGGGCAGGTGTGGGAAATAACATAATTATTAAGCCCTCCAATGAATGCTTTCCCTGTCCTGCTCAGCATGGAAAGTGTAATGTAGTAGGGGAGATTCACAACCTGGGAAAGGCTCCACATTCACCACTGACCACGCCAAGCCAACTCTCCAATCTGTCACTGCGCCACCAGTAGTGATTGCTTAGTCCCAGATGCATTCCCTGTTCACTGGGCAGGGATATAGAACTTCATTAATCATTCTGTAATCCCTAAGATGTAATATTATCCATCACTCACATGGCAAATATAATAGTCTAGCACAGTGGTGAAGAAAGATGAGACTTAGAAGATGGATAACTTGGGGAAAGAAACATAGTTTTTCTGGAGGAGACTGCAGACAACTTCCCGCTCGCAGTTCAAAAATGAGAAAATCCACAGACCTGGCATTCTAGAAATGTTTGGATACATAATATTGATTAAGAGTTCTACTCATAACCATCCAGAACTCAGGGTTTTTCTTTGTTTTTCAATAGCTGTAAATGTTTTGCTTTATAACGAATCTGTCCTCTTAAACGTACGTTTCTGGCCCTAGTAGAAATCAACTTTATATTGCTAAAGCAAAGAGTGTTTGTTTAGTTGCTCCCCACCCACCACCAGAAACTGAAATCTTCACTGGAAAATACAGCTCAGACTTATAAAGGGAAGATAAAGCGTCTTTTTGCTGTTTAGAAATGACAGACTTCAGACTAATAGACTGTGAATTTTTGAGCTACTATTGCAAAGGTGGCCACCTTGTTTGTTATTGTTTTGTTGTGGTCTGCCAACAGATCACAAATAATATCAGTCAAGGCCCAATCAGCTCTTGCTTTCAAAAAAGCCCCCCCCCCCCAATGAGTCCGGGAATCTCTATTCAAGGGACAATGCAAAAGGTAATGCACTGCATCTTCCATCTCCCCAGTAGCAGAAACACATGTCTGCTGCTAAGGCACTCAGGTAATTTTTAAAATAGCATCAGTTGTACCAGTTACTTGTTTATGTTCAATGCCAATTGTCTACTTAATTGTAGCATTACTTGAACAGTAATGCCCTACATTGTGTAACCTGGTTTAACCTCCTTGTTCTACAAAGCCCCAAATGTTGTAACCTTTCCTTCTAGGGGAGTTGCTCCAGCCCCTTGATCATTTTCCTTTTGAATCTTGACAGTATCGTTTCTCAGTTGAGGCAAGCAGAACCATGCACAGTATTCTAAGTGCAGCCACACCATAGCTTTCTGCAATCTCCTCTTCCTCTTTTAGCTCGCCTTTGGCTCCCTTGTTATCCAAAGGTCTAATGGCCTCCTTTGCTGGCCTCCTTTCACACACACACACACACACACACACACACGTATGTATGTATGTTAACAATGTGTTCCTTACTTCTTCTTTTGCATCCCTTATTGCCTGCTTGCATTTCTTCAGCCAAAGTTTGCATTCCTTTTTGTTTTCCCCATTTGGACAAGACTTGGACATTTTCTGAAGGAAAGCTTCTTGCCTTTAATAGCTTCCGGCAGGTATCTTCTCAGTCCCAGTGGTTCATTTCCTGATCTGCAGTGTACATTGCAGCTGAGCTTCTATTATTGTTGTTTTGAACAACACCCAGGCTTTCTGGAGAGATTTGGCCATCTTCATTTTCCCTTTCACCTTCCTTTTTACCGATCTCCTCATTTTGAGAGAGTTCATTCTTCTGGAGTGACTGTGTTGGGCTTCCTTGACAATTGCCAAGTTGATTTATTCTCAGTTGAAAATCTAGCTCTGAAATTATCTACTAAATTGTCCTTCGTCAATATGGCACCTTCCAGATGTCACTGAATTGCAACTCCCATCCTTAACCATTGACCATTTTGGCTGGGGCTGAAGGGAGCTGTAGTTCAAAATGTCTGGAGAGCACCAAATTGGGGAAGACTGTACCAAATGTCCTTCTTGCATTAATCCACCAATGACACAATCTTATACATGTCAATACAGAAGCAAGTCGCACTGGGTTGAACAGGGTTTGGTCTTAAGTAGCTTAAATAGACACTATGTTTGATCAGGTTTACTGCCCAGTAAATGGGCTTTAGGATTGCAATCTAAGTTGACTTAGTGCAACTTGCCGTATAACTCAGGCATAAAGCCAATGGGCCAAGACAGATTTCAGCAAACAATAAAAGCTCCAGATTTATCTCCCTTCCATTCTACTACTGTGTTTCCCCCCTCTTACTCGCTTTGAGACCACTGCTGTTACCTTCTGTGGTGGAAATCAAAGAACACAAAACACAGTGCTTGCCGGGAATGAGCACAGCCCACATAAAGCTCAGGAGAACTGCAGGAGAGATGTGAAAACTTGCTGATCAATATATAACTCTGCATGCTGTATTGTGCTAATGGAGGTCCAAATAGAAGCTTTTGTCAGACCACCCTGAATATCCAGCTACTGGACAGAGAATTGGAAACAGTCTTCAAACACTTCTGCTGTACATTATAATCTAGTGAGGAAAGCCAGCTACAGAAAAGACAACTGTTGCCAAGTTTAATGTAAAGTGCATGTAATATGATCTGTTGTACCTTTGGAAGATCAAATCATTTGCCTGTTTAACTTTCCAAATGGGAAAATCCTTACTTCCTGTTTTCTTTCCACACTTTCTCATATTTCTTTCTCTCTCTTTCTCTCTCTGTGTGTACAAAAACTAGTCACCTACATTGTGTGAATGTATCAATGGATTATCAGTTCCATCAGTGGATTGCAAATATTTGGCGACCAGAGCTTAGAAGATACACAGGGCTAAAAGAGTCAACATGTAGGTCTGTCTGCATCTCAGGATCGAGACAGAACCATGGTGGTGTCCCTTTCCTGAAAGCCCTCTCCTCTTAGGGCTGGGTCCACACACCTGCTTTCCCTTACGAAATGATTTCTAGGTCAAGGAAGAGCAAACGTTTCCCCTGTAGGTTCCTGCAAATGTCTTTGTTGTTGCACTTGGCAGCCCTGAATGACTTGTAAGTCTGCCTTGTCAGGTGGCAGCCCGGGGCACATGCTTGTGTGAGGTCCATGGGTGAGACGAGCGCCAGCCTGCAGCTTGATGAGACAGGCAGGGAATCTTCAGTGTAAGATCCCTGAAAGCAATGCCACCATCTCCCCTGACCCATCCCGACCAGTCTTAAGGGGAATAATTGCTTGGGCAGAAGTTGTCAGTGAGCCAATCAGTGTACATTTTGGGGAAGCAAATACAATACGATAATCTTTATTGTCATTGTCCCATACATAACAGCGAAATTGAAAAAAATCTACATCAGACATTCAAAAACCCACAAGTCTGCTGTCCCATCTATCCCAGCTTGGTTAGCCCCTAAAAACTCTGATACTCCATAATTGAATACAATATACTCACATAAAGACTACCTTACACTGAGTTTAAAACCAAGATCTCATTTGGATAGAAACTGTTTCTCAGGCGGCTAGTCCTAGTCTTTATAACCCTGTACCTTCTTCCAGAAGGCAGAAGCTGAAAGAGATCATTTCCGGGGTGCGCACTATCCTGCACTATCTCTGCAGCTTTCTTATGGCACCTGGAAGCATAGATTTGATCCAAGGTGGGAAGAGTGCACCCAGTTATTCTCTCCACAGTCTTTGCAACCCTGGACAGCATTGTTTTTTCCCTGACCGTGCAGCTCTACTAATGAGTAAATATTTCCATGTGACTAGGTGCAAAGGCACCTTAGTAGGAGCAGTGTTTTCTAGTGCTGTGTTTTGTCTGTGCATGGCCAGGAACACTGTGTGAAAATTTATTACTTGCTTAAGAAGCACTTATTGTTCAGTGAGAGAGAGGTGACTTGGAACAGGGATGGGGGACCCTATCGTCCTTTGGTACTGGCTGAGGCCAAAGAGAATTGGAAAATAACAACATATGGAGGACCACTTGTCTCCCAGCTGTAATTTAGAACATGGTGGAGACCACATCATCAATTCCTGGGTGTTTGATAATTCTGAAGACGCCTACTCAAAGCAACCACTGGGAAGCCTTTTAAAAATAAAAAAAAGCTCTTTAGCTAAAATAACAGCAGCTTGTGAATATGGTGAATGTGCCGTGTATAGTTAGGGAGCAGCTATTTTTAACTCAAAACAACAGTCCCTGGAAATGTGGTTATTAAATTTGAATGATCTGGTGGGCAGATGCTTTGCTGCCACTGTAAACAGATTAGGGATGCATCTCTTCAGTTGCCAATCACAGATTTCGCCAGAGAGAAATAAAAACATCCCGTCCTCTTGGGAATGTGGTCTCTCTCTCTCTCTCTCTCTCTCTCTCTCTCCCTCCCCCCCCCCCCCATTGGAAGACAGTTGAAACACTTAGGCTGGCACGTGACAATAGGTTTTAAGATACTTGGAGGAGGTTGTCATTGTTTCTCGGTGCTCACACAGTTGTTTCTTTTGTGACACTGTCATTTCTGGCCGAATCGGTTTTGCAGGTTTCGAACAAAGCCAAATGGAGGATTGGCAAATGAAATCCTTCGCCCTAAATTAGTTGTTTGCCTTCCATCACGAATATGTGTGCATGCCCTGAAACCATTCAGGTAGCTGCATTCTCCCTGGCAGGTGCCTGCAAGGGAAAAAACAGCCTGCACCCAGTACCAGTCAGTTTCAAAGAATTACTCAACCCAACCCCAGTATCTCTTTCCTGGGTAGTCACAGCAAGCCTATATACACATCCAAACTAGATGTTACCCTCAGACACATGTATTATTGCATCAGGTATGGGGAACCTGTGACCCTTCAGATTCTGCTGGACTACAGATCCCATCGTCCCTGACCATGGACCTTACAGGATGGGACTGATGCAAGTTCGAGTCCAGCAACATCTGGAGGGGCACAGGCTGCCCACCCCTGCATTGCACCCTTTTTAAACAGGGAAACCCGCTTTAGGTCCTTCCCCGCCCCCCCACTTCAAAGTAGCCCTCCACTACAAGGTTCGCTGATCCAAATTTCCTATTGGAACTCATTTGAAGCGGTGAACCCGCTGTGGGGGGGATTTGAAAATGGCAGGTTGGGGGGGGGGAATTTAAAATACTCACCTCCCCGCTGCTTGTCCAATCTCAATCGCCCCTTCAGAAGTGGCCCTTCTTATTCAGAAATGACCACTGGGATGGCATCTATATGTGTGATTTGGTCCTTAAGATATATGTGAAATTCAGAATTTTTGTGGGGGTTGGGGTTTTTGGCCCCTTTGTACTTATTTTCATATATGATGCATGCCTGGGGTGCTCCCCCCCCCCCGCCAGAACTTGCTGGAACTCAGTTCCAGCACCTCTCTCAGGTGGGCGTCATTGCCACTCTTAAGAGAACAAGGGAGGTGTTCCTGGTGAGTTCTGGCACCTCTTTTCCTAGAAAAATAGCCCTGTGCATGCCCCTCTATTAACATCAGGGTCACAAGGGGTGAACAGTGGTAATTAGCAGTTTTTGAAGTCCAGCTGAGCTGCACACACTTCTCATTTCTTGGAGAAGCCTCCTATGAAAGAGGGGAGAAGGTTTGTGACCCTCGCATGCCTCACAGCGAGGAGAGGATCTTGCCGGAAAGACATGTGGTGACGGCCTAATAACCTCTTCCTTTGGATTTGCCTTCCATGCAAGCAGTATCAGTTACCGTTGTTTCATTGTTATGGCAGGAGGAGATGTTTCTGGATGGAATCCCATATGCAGATCAGGGAGCAGGCTTTAAAAACAGAGGGTGGGAAGTAGCTCTTCCACCTTGTACAGAAGTTCTGCTTTGTTTTTGAAACTGTGTGTGTGTGTGTGTGTGTGTGTGTGTTTTTCCGGCTGAAACTTAAACAACTGAAAGAGCCCTACAAGGCAGAGGTCTAGGGAAGCCAGCCAGAGCAAAGAGAGCTTTGCAAACCACTTTTAATCACAATCAAGTGACTCTTATAAATATTTGCATATATGCCGCATCAAAGCCTCGTACGTTCATGTGATTCAGTCATGAAAGAGAAAGGGGAAAGGAACAGGACCGCTGTGGCTTGTGGCTGCTTGGATTAAGGATGGGCAGAGCACCAGGAGAGAGCAGACGTGCGGAGGAAGAGAGGAGCCCGCCAAAGTTTTAACAAACACGAAAAGAAATAAAAATAAATCTCTGGAACATTTATTGCCCCCTTTCGTTGGAAGGCTCGGGTTGGGGCTCTCAGCTTTCCCTCTCTCTGTGTGTGGATGCGAGATTGCAAAATAGTAAAAAAAATCAACCCGGATGGTCTGACTCCCCCCTCCCCCGCCCAAATAACAAAGAGAAAGTTGTTTATGTCTCCCCAAAACAGGAAACATATTGAATTAGTTCCACTCACTTAGGATAGTCTATCAAAGAGTAGCTGATGTGTCTGCTCTCTAGCAGGGAAAGCTGCACTTGCAGTTGAAATGGACCAGACTCACATCAGCAGGGATTCTCATCAAATCTGAAAGATTTCCAAAGGGCATAATAACAATAATAATTTGTTTCGCTGTTGTTGTTCATGTAGAACCCTTGCCGCCCAGCACCATGGCACTTCGCTGCAGTCCAGTGGGTCTAAGCAGCTTCAAATTGTCACTAGAGGTGACTGAACCAGGAGACAAATTGAAGTGGTTGCTCCATATGGGTGCCACCAATGACAAACTAGGAGACAGAGAAAGAACTTGGTGTGCTCTATCAGAAAGTACGAGACAAAGCCGATAAACAACTGGAACACCAGCGCAGTGTCGTGCTCCTGCACAGCTCTTGTTCCTTTCACAAGGTCTTTTTTTGCACAGGAAAACTTTCTGGCAGATTGTGCCCCTTGCAGATTAGCATGCATTGGAGGAGAAGGGCCCACAGTAGGCCACCAGCTGGATTTCTCCTTCAGGGTGGTGACAGAACAAGTTGCGCATGCTTATGAAATTGCATTGTTGTCCCCTCACAGTTTCAGACTGTGAATATAAGTAGTGTTCACACCAGCATCAGTTAGCTGCTTTTAAATAAGTAGCAGTTTGAGCTATTATGTTTTGAGAGGGAAACTGTCAGAATTTAATTCATGTGTGCATGTGGATGGTGCACCCAACATCCCTTTAAAACAGTAGCAAGAAATAAATAAATATTTTTTCTTGTCTGCCATTGCGTCTGAGAGTGTTGTTCTGCGAAGTTTTTCCAAGTTTTGGTGAACTTCGGTTGTGGTGACTTTGCAGACTTCATAACTCCCGTTTAGTGTGATTTGGGAGCTCCCACTTCAAATACTGAGCCAGAATCGTAGCTGTCCAGGGCTTTGACTTCTTACTTGAGGTGTTTTTACCCCAATCAGTATCACTTGTTGAGATGGAACCATGAACATAACTGATACATATTTCCACAACAGATATCCAATTTCTGATTTTAAGTTTTAAATATTGTTTTTATGGTACCATTTTATGTATATTTGTTGTGAACCACTTTGATGTTTTCTTTATGAATTAGTGTATGTGTATATATATATTTAGACCATGTGGGTAGTGCTGTGGTCTAAACCACAGAGCCTAGGGCTTGCCGATCTGAAGGTCGACAGTTCGAATCCCCGCGACGGGGTGAGCTCCTGTTGCTGGGTCCCAGCTCCTGCCCACCTAGCAGTTCAAAAGCACATCAAAGTGCAAGTAGATAAATAGGTGCCTCTCTGGCGGGAAGGTAAACAGTGTTTCCGTGCGCTGCTCTGGTTCGCCTGAAGCAGCTTAGTCATGCTGGCTACATGACCCGGAAGCTGTACACCAGCTCCCTCGGCCAGTAAAGCGAGTTGAGCACCACAACCCCAGAGTCATCCACAACTGGACCTAATGGTCAGGGGTCCCTTTACCTTTATATCTATCATCTATCTATCGATCATCTGTCTACCTACCTACCTACCTACCTATCTATCTATCTATCGATCATCTATCAGATGTAGTCATTTCCTTAGTAATCTGCTGTTGACGTCCCAGGATCTTTAGAAGCTCCCAAGCCAGATGGACAGATGAACAGGTAGATAGTGATTTCCCCCTTATATTCGTAGTCCACCTTTCCTGAGATGGAGCCCAAGGTTGGGTACATGTGGTTCCCAAGCAGTCATTCATCCACACACTGACCAAACCCATACCTGCTTAGATTCAGCAAGCTAGCAGCTCCGTATGCATTCAGACCATACCCTGGGACGGACGGATGGCTGGTGCAAGAGATACCTGTCCATGAGCCAATCACTGTAAGCAGCAGTGTTGAAGGGGGGGGGGGGTTAAATGGATAAACTGGTAGGTTTATCCTCTCCCCTCATGACTTCCTCTTCCCCTCATGACTCTCCTCTCCCTTCATGACTTCTATACCTGCTCCAGATCTGCTCTGGATAGCTTGAGGAACCCACAGAATATATTTAAGAGAGGAGAGAGGAGAGGAAGTTCCGTTGCCCTGTCACTGCGCTAGTGGAGCCACTTCACTGGATACCGCGCATGACATAAAGCAGCTGTAAAATCAAGAGCTGACTTTTACGCACTTTTGCACCTGAAGCAAAAAAGAGAGAGAAAATTAACATGCAGAGGATGCATTTCGGTATTAGCTCCCTCAGTCAGCACCAAATCACGCGTGTTAGTCATGCAACACTAATTCCATATGAACTGCACTGCTGCATTTCCAAGCCTAAATTAAAGTGGCTGCTTTTAACCTCATAATTCACCAGAGTTGCTAGAACTGATGGAACTCCAATAACATCTGGAAGGCCAAACCTTTGACCTTACTTACTCCTGCTTTATAGCCTTAAATGATTTGGGTGTAAGTTATTTGGTTTATTGGCCTTTATTGGCGTAAGTTTAAACAATAAAATCATATAAAGGCATCCAAATACATTCATAATCCAAACACATACAATATATAAAACACTAGATAGCCTCCATTGAATAAATCAAGCAACTTTAGATTTAGATTTAAAGATCTCGGCTAAATACCCCAAAACAATCTTGGTAGTTTGGGGAGTATCATCCCTCAACAAATAATTGGATTACAGACTCTTTGTAAATCAATATTTTAAGCTGTAAGGGAGTCACTAGGAGATCCCTGTGAAGGGTGTCAAGAAGAGGACAATCCAAAATTTTGTGATCTGGTATTTTCTTATTACAGGAGCAGAATCTGTTCTGGAAGGGGATTTTTTGGAACCTTCCAAACAAAACAGATGAGGGGAATGCATTTAGATGAGCTAGCTTAAAAGCTCTGTGATGCAATGGAGTATCTAAATTATAAAGGTAATTAGGCATTGGTCCATGGTGGGGCTACAACCCTAAGTAAGCAGATGAACATACAAAAGGCTGGGAGGGGTAGAGTTTTTGGATTTCATGGTCTAGCAGTCTCTGCTTGATGACAGAGAAGATTTGTGACTCATCCAATAGAAGAAGGGAATCTATTACAATCCCTAGTTGAGGATAATATAAGAAAACAATGCAAAATTATGTGTATCTCTCAATAAAGAAGTTAGTAATTTTCTGGTTCTGTATTAAAGTGATTTTTTAACCAGTATTTGAAAGTCATAATCCAGCCCCTAGATTCTAAGAGATGCTGGCCTAACTGCACAAATAGCAAGATAGGAGATGTATTTTTGAACTCTTAGATTTTTTGGGGAAAAGGAGGCCTGTACACCCTCAACTTTGTTGTTAAAGTCAGATATCCATAAAGGAGTTGCAAAACAGTTTTTGCACTATAGCCCCTAACCGCTGCAGGCATACTACCATAAAAAAATAGAATTGTTTAATTCATGCTGCAGAGCATTTAGCTAAGTCGGTTATCCTTTTACGATGGGTCACCCATTTTAGATTGTAATAAAAGGTGATCCATTAGTCTTTAAAGCTTTATCTTGTTTGGTTGCTTGATCACCAATACGCCATTTAGATGAATGCCAACTATTTGAAATACCAAGATCTTGGATTTTGAGTAATTAATCACTAGGTGATTTCCTTGGCAGTAATGAAGGAACGCTTTTAGACATCTAAAAGCGCCCAACTCTGGTGCAGGAGAGGAGGACAGTGTCATCAGCATATAAAACTATGGGAACTGCCTTAGGTCCTAATCTAGGAGGGTGGCCATTCACAACAAGTAGATGTTGTTTCATTAAATAGATGTAGAGCAAGAATACAGCTTTGTTTGACTTCTTTAGTAGTTGTAAAGCTAGGTGATAAGTGACCGTCCAGGGAAATCTTCACCTGACACATAATATTTGTAAGCAGCTTTTTTTATCAAGAAAAGTAATCGGGGTTCTAGCCCAATAGCATTCAGTTCCTCCCATAACAACCCCCTGGGTATCAAGTCAAAAGCACTTTACAGATCAATAAAAGCTAGATAGAACTTTCCACTTTTGGATTTCATATACTTATCTGCTAAAAAGGCAAGTGAGAGACAGTGATTAATAGTTGATTTCTGTTTTGTAAATCTGATCTGTTTAGGGCCAATAATTCTGTTCATTTTAATCCAGTCCAATAGATAGCGCTCTGTTTAGAGTAGAGTATACTTATAGTGGACAGAAGACTAATAGGGCAATAATTACACAGCTGCCCAGGATCGCCTTTTTTCTTAAAATAAATTGGTATTATTACAGAAGTTAACCACGACTTTGTAACATTTTGTCCATGTCCAGGAATTTGTCGATCACCCCTTCGAATTGCAGGGACCATCTAATCCTTTTCAGAATACTATGGGAGGCCTGATCTGAGTTAGCAGGCTTCAGGATCTTATTAGCTGGGCTGCATTGTATAGTCAGAAGTAGGGGTGTGTGTGTTCACTTTCTGTATGGACTCCAGTAGAAAAGAAGTTGACATCAGAATATAGGTTTAGAGCAGGCATGGCCAAACTTGGCCCTCCAGCTGTTTTGGGACTACAATTCCCATCATCCCTGACCACTGGGCCTGTTAGCTAGGGATGGTGGGAGTTGTAGTCCCAAAACATCTGGAGGGCCAAGTTTGGCCATGCCTGGATAAGAGAATAGATTGAATAGTCAACTCCACTATGACCCCTTGTCGAGATAAAAGTAAACTCATCATCACCAGGTAAGTTATTCGGTCCATTTAATATAACTGCATTATGGGCAATACAAAAATCCATAAGTTTTCACTCTGCTTTATTAGTTAATCTATCCTTAGAGGAGCAGGAAACAGACAATGGAGTGGGTATTATATCTGGTCGTTCAAAGCCCAATTGGCTTGTCCCAATTAGCAGTTAGAATCATCTCATCTCCTGAGGGAGGGAGGTAGAAATTTACCAAAATTACCAGTTCATTATTCATAGTTATTAGGTAAGCTTGGGCTGATGGAGGATAAGTGCCAAAAGGAGTTGTATTGAATGGCAGGCCAGATCTGATTAAGATCAATAAGCCAGCTTTGTGGAGACCTTTGGAGAATTGTCTATGAGCAGGTAGATTGTATGAAGAGAACCCAGCAATGTCACTAACCAGGTTTCTTGAAGTAATATACAATTGAATATACCCCTCCCATCCAGCAATGTTCCAGGAGATGAGGTGAAGAATCCCAGTAGGGGCACCTGCTGGATGCCAATCAGGATCTACAGTTTGATCCAGAGGTCTATTCCTGAGGGACATTGTCATTTATTTGAGGGGCACAAGGAAAAGTTGGGTTAAGTTCCATATCCCCTGAAATCAGATCTATCAGTGGGCTTTGCATTTTACAGATCAGTTGCGGGGATTCTTGGTTTTCAGGGAATAAAAACTTTGCACCATTGCTCTCTATTTGATGGGCCACTTTCACTTCTGTCAGCCTGCCAGCACTTGAAGATAGCAACAGAGGCCTCAAAGTGTCACCGAGTTTGTGGGTATGAGAGACAAAGAGAAGACCTTTTCTATGGTAGCCCCACATCTCTTGAGTCACGTTACCAACTGCAATTGGACAAGTTTTATTCCTACAACTATTTAGGAGACCCCTACAGAATCAGTTGTTTTTGTAGCCTTTCCCCTAAGTTGCTGTGTTTCCCTAATGCGAATTTTGGTTACTGATAACTTTTGTCTTTCAGATTTTTAGGGTTGTGTGTTGTTACTGCATTCTTGATCATGGCTTTGTTGTTCTAACCGTGTTTTCGTATACTTTTTTAAAAAAAACTTGAGATAGTTTCCCCTGCTTTAAAGGAGTCTGAGAAACATTTTAAATAAATATAATTAATTCTGAATCCTTGACTGAGGAGCTCATAGTAATCGCTAGGTATTTTTGTTGTCAGTCTCTTTTGATCATGTTGCACGTTCTCCTTTACTAGTACTTAATTCAGAGAGATCCTTCAGAGAGCAGCTTTCCTCCCTATGGAATTCCAGATCTGTTTTTTGGGACATTTGAAACATTGTGGAATGTCATGGGGTAGGACAGGGCAGTTTGGTGCAGGGAAATTATGTGCAGAGAAAGGCCTAATTCTTCCCTCCCTTGCCACTTCTGCAATCCTAATCACCTCTCCTCAAGGAACACTTCCTGTTTTAGAAATTGCCATGGAGACAATATGGCTCACTACCATCTAATATGACAATGGCTCTTAATCTAAAGTGAGGCTCACTTGAACATTAAAACACTTAACATTTTAAACCAGCAATTAATATTTAAGTAAAGCTACACAAATTGTTAAAATAAGGAGTCTACATTATTGCTCTGATGCCCATCAGCGTGCAGAAAAGATTTTTTTGGTTTCATGATGAAATACAACTGGTTATCCCCCCTTCTTTAGAGGAGAGGGACTTTATTGCTTTGTGTAAAGTTTTAGATTTGTTATACAATTGTCTGCTTCCTTTCCTCTTCTTTGAGATTCAGTCGAAATATCTAAAAGACAAAACATATTGTCAAGAGTTTAGATATTTTTTTCCTCCAGACTTTTTTTTCTTTCTTTCATAAAGCTACCCACAGCAAACTGCTTGTCATTAAATTCTATTTTCTTGGCAGTTGCTATTAAGCGTATGCAAGTCTGGAGTCATTTGTGAAACATCAGCTGTCATGAGTTTGTTCCAATTTATAATCATCCAGGATTTTCCACGTTGCTTTCAAAGAACAGGGTTAAATGCATGCCCTGAAAGAGAGTTGGAAATGGCTTGCTGATCTCTATTAATCTGCTGTTTCTATAATCAAACACATGTGTTTGTTTATCTGGTTAAATTGTTAATGATATCGAAATTGGCTGCTGGAAGCTGAATCATCCAGCAGACATTTCCGTCGCTGTTTCTTGAGTCTGCCTTGTGCTGTGGCCTGTAAAAGAACAATATATTCATAATAATTTTAAACCATTACACTAACTTCTTGCAGATCTCATCTCAACAAACCACCCCATCCCCTATTTTAGACGAGTGAGATTTGATGTCTCGGCGATGGAAAAAAACGCTTCCAACCTGGTGAAGGCAGAATTTAGAGTCTTTCGATTGCAGAATCCAAAGGCTCGTGTCTCGGAACAACGGATAGAACTGTATCAGGTAAAACTGTGGTGATCATTGCTGTCTCTTGACCATTGCTGTCTCTTGTCTGTGTGACCCTTTCTGTGCAAGGTAGAGTTCGGCTGATTTTAATGTACGCTTCTCTCTTAACAGGGAACTGTGAGAAATGTAGTTCATGTGAGGCAGGTCTGGGGATCTGCAACAGAATTCTCACTACCTCACCAAACTACCATTCCCAGGATCCTTTGGGAGATGCCAGACCAATATAAATAGTATAAAGCAGATCTAAGTTTGTAGTGTATATACTAACATATTCAAGCATTTCTTGCACGTTTTCTGTCAGATATGAGAGAAATGGGAAGAACAACTTGAACATGTATCCCAGCCAATTCAGTTTCACACTTACTTTAGAAACCACAGTTTAAGCCTCAGATGTGAAAAGAACCATAGTCTGTTGAATTATTTTGACTGGAGTTCATGTTCTCCCTCTTGCTGGGCTAGATGGGTCTTTGGTTTGATCCAGAAGGGATTGTCTTATGTTCTTGGGAGCTGGAAAAGGAGGTTTCTCCTTAAGACGCTTTTACGGTAGAATTAAAAAAGTGGTACCTCAGTTTAAGAACTCAATTCATTCTGGAGGTTTGTTCTTAACCTGAAATTGTTCTTAACATGAAGCACCACTTTAGCTAATGGGGCCTCCCGCTGCCGCCGCACGCTTTCTGTACTCATCCTGAATCAACGTTCTTAACCTGAGGTAACCTGAAGTGTCTGTAACCTGAATCGTCTGTAACCCAAGGTACCACTATATTAGGTGGGCTGAAACTAAGTAGCTGTGTGAGTATTTTGCACTGGGTATTTTATTAAGGAACACTGCACTGTATTATTGAAGAGATGCCCTTAACACAGAAATGGTGGCATCTTGTCAACCCAATGCATGCAGAAGGCCCCAGGTTCAAACCCCAGCACCCTCAGGTATGGCTGGAAGAGATTCCTTCCTCAAACCCTGGAGAGGTGCTGACACCCAACGTAGACAATGCTGAGCTAGATATACCAATAATAGTATAGGGCAGCTCCTATATTCCTCTGCTTGAATAATGCTTCTTTCTTAATTTGTGTCTTGCTCCTGTTGGCATGGTGATAGCACAGCACCCCTGAACAGTGAGGTTTAGGGTGAGCACTTCATAAGAATTCTGAACTAATATCAAACATAGTATTAATGAGGGCTGCATCCCTGTATAATAATATAAAAAGGTAAAGGGACCCCTGACCACTAGGTCCAGTCGCGGACGACTCTGGGGTTGCGGTGCTCATCTTGCTTTACTGGCCGAGGGAGCCGGCATACAGCTTCCGGGTCATGTGGCCAGCATGACTAAGCCGCTTCTGGCGAACCAGAGCAGTGCACGGAAACGCCGTTTACCTTCCCGCCGGAGTGGTACCTATTTATCTACTTGCACTTTGACGTGCTTTCGAACTGCTAGGTTGGCAGGAGCAGGGACCGAACAAAGGGAGCTCACCCCGTCATGGGGATTCGAGCCAACGACCTTCTGATTGACAAGCCCTAGACTCTGTGGTTTAGACCACAGCGCCACCCAAGTCCCTAAGTATAATAATATAAATATATATAAATAATGTCATACATTTATATTATACTCAGAACTATGTCCCACTGATTTCTACAGTTAAGCAAGGATGGGATCACAGCTCTACAGCTGTGTCTTATAAACATTTACTCAGAAGCCAGTCCAGTTCTTATTCCCAAGGACATGTGCTCAGGATTGCAGCCTTAGTTTGTTAAAAATCAGAGCCGAAAGCTGGGTGGAGTCTTTATCTCATCCTCAACCCGTCTGACCCCATTTTGTCGTCTTTGATTATTGATGCTGCTATACATTCCTGGGAGTTTGTTTTATTTTTGTTTCTAACCATTCCGTCACTTAACTGACTTTAAAAAAAGAAGAAGCATTGACTCACTTATTTGTTTGTTTAACACGTTTATACCCCACCCTTTAGCAAAAATAAAAATAAGAAAGACTCTTAGAGCAGCTTACAAAAATCAGTACTAAATTAATCCCTGCCCTCTCAGGCTCACAATCTAAAAAGACATGGCACATAAGGAAAAAGGAGTGGGCGGGAGGAGGAAAAAGCAAGCTCCAGAACAAGTGCTTTCAACACAGTTATATAGTTCTATTCAAGCAGATTTCGGCCGTCTAAAGTAGCAGCTCCTTGCCAGTGTCAGTGGTTGTTTTTCCCGTGATAAAGCGCAGTCCCTCCCTGATGCACTCTTCCTGCCCCCTCTTCAGATCCAGGAACAGTGTCCAGGCCAGGAGGGCAGTTCCTGCCATACATTTCTTGCCTCAGACAGCTATTGTGACGGTATTTAGAGTTCTCCCTCATGGGAGTTTGATGGAGTTACCCCTCCTCTCTTGCTGATGTCTGTGGCACTTCATATATAGTGAACTTGCATCTTCATATGCATTTCAGTTAAATCAGAGTGCTGAGATTTGAGACGGATTAGTGCTGAGATCTGAGACGCGGGTGGCGCTGTGGTCTAAACCACTGAGCCTCTTGGGCTTGCTGATCAGAAGGTTGGCGGTTCAAATCCCCGCAACGGGGTGAGCCCCCGTTGCTCGGTCCCTGCTCCTGCCAACCTAGCAATTCAAAAGCACGCCAAAAAGTGCAAGTAGATAAATAGGTACCGCTCCGGCGAGAAGGTAAACGGCGTTTCTGTAGGCTGCTCTGGTTTCGGTGTTCCATTACACCAGAAGCGGCTTAGTCCTGCTGGCCACATGACCCAGAAAAACTGTCTGCGGGCAAACACTGGCTCCCTCAGCCTGTAAAGTGAGATGAGCGCTGCAACCCCAGAGTCGTTTGCAACTGGACTTAACTGTCAGGGGTCCTTTACCTTTTTTTTTTTTTTAGCCCCCCCCCCCCCCGAAACCAGCAACATGGCGTTTTCAGCTTAACTTCACTGTGATTTTTCATGCATTTGTGTTTAGCCATTTCCCTCAAACGACGTCTGTGAAATGATTAATTGAAATTAGGAGCCTGCCTTACGTTCTTACATCTTCAACCAGATAATAATAATACCACCACCACCCCGAGCTAATTCATATAATTTAAGCCCTTTGTTTCGAACCCTGTTTTCTGCTTGTGTTTTCTGTTTCCTTTACCACATGGCTGCCAGGCTTCAGACTACAGGTTGTTGGTTATATTCTGTGTTGTTATACCGGTAATTCACCACCATATGAGATACCATTTATATTTTTATGTTTCAGACATGAAAACATATTGGGTTATCTTGGCTTCCGGGAGGGGTGAGGACAGGGGGTGACTTTGGTAAGCTCTGGGGGGGTGGCTTTGGGGAGGTAGGGGGTTTGTGCAGCTAGGCAGGGTTGGCAGGCAAAGAGTCAGTGACTTTTTAGTTTGATATAATAAAACTTGATTTAAAATTTGCATTCCACTTTTCCAACAAAGTGTTGAGTGACTCGCAGTAATGACAAGTGTTAACAATTAGCAAACGTTTCAGTCAATACGATCATAGCCTGAACTGAATATGGAAGTGATCAAGAAAGAGATCATCTCATGGTTTATTCATGGACTCTAATACTGGTTTACTGTCTGCAAAAAGCCACTTGCAGTTGCCATCTCGGCCCGTGATAAATGTGCTCAGATGATTTATTTTACCACTTCCACATTTATTTGAGGCTGGAGAAACGGCAATTCCATGGATGGAAAGTAATCCTAGAATGTGGATGTGTGAATACTAGTCCTTCCAAATAGGGACCATTTGTGTACAGTCCCATTGACTACTGTACATACATCATCAGGCTGCAACGAGATGTTATGACAATCACCAAAAACAGTGGCTATGCCTCCTTTCCCCTCCAGTAATGTTTAGTAATTTATATTATTTATTCCTTATCTAGAGTTGTAGACCACCCTTCATCACTTATAATGATCTCAGGGCAGTTTCCAGAATATCATAAAATAAACATCATTTACTACACACACACACACACACACACACACACACACACACCAGTTAAAACTATCATTAAAATTGCAGTTAATGCTGAATGCTGCGGCCCAATTGCTGACAGGAATAAGATTCTGTCAGCATATTACACCTTTGTTCAAAGATCTGCACAGGCTGCTGTTTTGTTACAGGGCCGAGTTGAGTGTTTTACTATTGGTATATAAAGACGTGCCTTCTCCACCAATTTCAGCCTGCAGAACTTGCCCTTTTACAAGTGCCAAATAATATTCACTCCACATTTTCAAGGAATCAGTCTTTAGACTGTGTCAGCACCTAAAACCTTTTTTAAGCCTACCCAGACATATGAATTAGTTACCTGTATTCATTCTCAACATTTTACCAATTTTATTTTTGTTTTAATGTTAATTGTTTTAATGATGATTATTTTATTCATATTTGGTTTTCTAATAGTTTTTGTGGATTTTAGCTGTGTATTATTTTCAATTTTATTATGCACACCCCTTAAAACTAATAAAAAGAAACACCCCAGAGCATCCTAAAATTACTGAAAACAGAAAGCGGCCTTGCTGGTTTATGCCTGGTAGAATAGGAATGTTTTCCCTTGATGGTTGAAATCCATCAGGGTCTGTAGTCTGCTCTTTTGGCAGTAGGGTGTTCCATAGGTAGGGACCCACAACAGAGGAAGCTGTTGCACATGTCGCAACCCAGTGGGACAAGCTTAACAGTGAGACAAGGGCCCGGGATGGATGATATAGGAGAACGTGTCTCAAGAAACATGCCTGCCATGACATCATCACGCACTGCTATGACATCATCGCCAATGTGTTTCACAGTCATCAGCCAATGAAGCAGATTTAGCAGGAGACTGTTTTGTTGGCAGCCATATTTCAGTCCCAATATGTCATTCTAGCCTCAGAGCTACATAGCATTGTTGTTAAGGAATCATAGAAGGGACCCAAGGGTCATCTAGTCCAGCCTCAGTGATGCAGGAATCAGCTGAAGCATCCAAGACAGATAGGTGGCCACCCAAGCTCTGCTTAAAAACCTCCACTGAAGGAGTCCACAACCACCCGAAGAGATCCATTCCACTGTCGAACAGCTCTTACTGACGGAAAGTTATTCTGGATGTTTAGTTCTTTCTTGTAACGTGAAGCCATTGGTTCGAGTCCTACCCTCCATCCAGGCAGGGTGCACAGAATTCCCCTGTCCCTCATAATAGTAAAGGGTCCTATGAAAACCGAAACATATTAAAGAGCCTTCCTGGGTTTGTCTCTTCCCATTAATGGGAGCTTACCATATAGTTAAAGCTATGGTTTTCCCAGTAGTGTTGTATGGAAGTGAGAGCTGGACCATAAAGAAGGCTGATCGCTGAAGAATTGATGCTTTTGAATTATGGTGCTGGAGGAGACTCTTGAGAGTCCCATGGACTGCTAGAAAGCTCAAACCTCTCCATTCTGAAGGAAATCAGCCCTAAGTTCTCACTGGAAGGACAGATTCTGAAGCTGAGGCTCCAATACTTTGGCCACCTCATGAGAAGAGAAGACTGTCTGGAAAAGACCCTGATGTTGGGAAAGATTGAGGGCACAAGGAGACATTGGGGGACGACAGAGGACGAGGTGGTTGGACAGTGTTCTCGAAGCTACCAACAAGTGTTTGACCAAACTGCAGGAGGCAGTGGAAGACAGGAATGCCTGGCGTGCTCTGGTCCATGGGGTCACGAAGAGTCGGACACGACTAAACGACTAAACAACAACATAAGACACTGTCCTCAACATAAGTTCTAACAAAAGACCAAGACTTTAGGTAATATAAGACGGATAAAAGTCCTTTAACAGGGGGAAGGGGGAGGGAAATAAAATGATTAAACAAACAAGCTCAAGCATCCACCAGTGTCTCTTGCTATGTTTTGAAAGATTGATGCCAAATGCGGGATTTATTGGAATTTGATCAGATAAAAATTTGAATGTTGTGGGAATGTCTTTGAACCCGTCGACTTGGCGGCCCCTTTGGTAGCCTTCACCACATCTTTATTTTATTAAGGTGCTTCTGTATTTAGAAATAAACCGCTGCTCCCATTTTTCTTTTTCTTTTTATGAATAGGCATCCTGAAAAGGCACCCCTGGCAGAGTAGGACAAGTGGTGGTGGGGGGGCAGTGGAGGGAGGAAGCAGAGCAGGGCACAAATCCTATCCGTTGTTTGGAGTGGTTGCAGCGAGATTGTTTTTATGGCAGTTTATTAGCTACAGACTATAAAACAATAACGTGTTCAAATGACTTCCTATGGAAACAGTGCCATGTTTTGGTAACACATCATAAAGCATCATGAGGAATGGAGCTGAAATTCTGGGTTTTATTACTACTGTTATCTGAGGCTTTAGCCTGCTTAGGTACCTGATAGGCTGCTGGAAGGGAGGAATGCAATGATACAGGGATGGAGGAGGAGAGGGGGGGACACATTGAGCTGCACTGGGCTTCCAGCGGCAGCTCGGACCCCAGGGGGGACATTATATTACAAGGAAGGACTTGAGGAGGCAAAAGGTTTAAGGCATTTTTCTGCTCTCAGTTACACTGGTGTGGGTTTCGGATCACCAGTACGATTCCTTCAGATCCTGCTGAAATAAAGATGGGAAGAGATCGCACAGGAGGAGCATGGTTGCATGATGGGCTCCACAAGGAGCAGAATAAGGTGGAATAGTTTGGTGGGTGGGTGTTGTAGAATGGACTGTACCACTTCATGCTGGAAGTGGGTGGGGGCCATCTTTTTTTGGATTCTCCCCTGCACTAGCAGGGAATGGACTGGCTGGATTCAGTGGTGAGAGGTAAAAGGTAAAGGTAAAAGACCCCTGGACAGTTAAGTCCAGTCAAAGGCGACTATGGGGTTGCGGCACTCATCTTGGCTTTCAGGCTGAGGGAGCCGGCGTTTGTCCACAGACTGCTTTCCTGGTCATGTGGCCAGCATGACTAAACCACAGCAGGACGCCATGACGGAAACCAGAGCGCACAGAAACGCCATTTACCTTCCTGCTGCAGTGATACTTGTTTATCTACTTGCACTGGTGTGCTTTCAACTGCTAGGTTGGTAGGAGCTGGGACAGAGCAATGGGAGCTCACCCCGTGGTGGGGATTCAAACCACCAACCTTCCGATCAGCAAGCCCAAGAGGCTCAGTGGTTTAGACAACAGCGCCACCCACTGGTGGGGGGCACCAGCTGGGGAACCCACAAAGAAGAAGGCTCAGAGCCAGGGGATCGGTGGTGGGTCGACGATGAGTGGTCAGAATCTGAAGAAGTAACAGGGTTTAGTGAGCAGGAAGAGGCTGTGGCAGAGGGCAATCCAGAATCAGAGGCAGAAGTGCAGGCTGGAGAGGAGGGCAGCCAAGAGGCAGAGATGATGCAGGCTGCTGAAGAATAAGCCCTCTGGAATAAGTTACCAGCTGAAATTAGACAGGCTATACAGGGGCCTTGTTTATTGACATCTGTCTAGAAATCAAGATTGCTGGTTGCACCCATTGATCATCTTAAGTGTTTGCTACTATTGCTCCTTAAGATATTGGTGTTAATGCAGCTGTGAGACTTTGCAGCTGTCCACAGGATTCCTCTTGTGTAGCCTCACTTGTTTGTCACCAAAATGCTGATGACTAAGCTCTGTCTCTTGGCTTCATTCAGTCTTCCTGCAGCAAATGTATGTGACTTAGAGGAAAGCCAAGACAGGATTGTGCAAGAGCCATTCCACACCAGGCTTTATATTGGGCATAAAATCTAGCATCAAATTATCACCCTAGTTTATTTATTAATTCTCATGTTGAGATGCGATGGCACTGAATGCTGACCTCCAAATATTGGAAGAGGTGTGTCAATCAGCATCCCTAAAAACAAAACAAAAAAGAGGGCTTGCTCTGGTTTAGTGGCTTTGCCTTCTATGGCTTGATGTTTTAATAAAACCTACCACGCCTCAGGCGAGCTACAGCTAAATGCTCGTGCCTCTTTTTTTGCCGAGGTTTATTTGTTTTGCTTTGCATGACATCTTCGTTCCTGACAATCTCGACATCTCCCTCAACTTCAGGAAATTGCACCGAGCATTTCGGCATTTTCCTGGGGAGAAACTTTGTTTGTCTGTTTTTTGCTTGACGGTACTGAGACCGCTTTGTGCTGAACTGTAAAGTGAAGAAGACAGAAACAAGGGCGAGTTGTTGGGACGGCTTCCCAGCTTTGTAGACGTTATTTTGCTCCGCTAGCTAGATCAGAGGTAGCAGCCAACCAGTGTGGTGGCCTCCAGATGTTACTGAACTACATCTCCCATCATCCCTGACCATGGGCCATGCTGGCAAAGGCTGATGGGAGTTGGGGTCCAGCAACAACATCTGGAGGGCATAATATTGCCTACGCCAAAGCCAGATGGTTAGTGACTTCTTTGCAATGTATTCCCACAATCGATAACTCATTCCATTACCATGAGATTATCCTGCGACATGATTAAGGAAAATGTTTTGCATGGATCTCCACTTGTTGGGGGGTGGGTGGTACCAGATTATGGAGGTTAGTGAGAAATAACCTAGTCCACATGGAAGAATACTGATGTCATGTGGTATTTATTTGATTATCAGTTTCAGCAAATTTATACAGTACAGTGGAACCTCTACTCGCATACGGAATCTGTTCCGGAGGTCCGTTCGTGAGTCAATCCGGGTTGCTGGTAGAAGCGCCGTTCTGCGTGTGTGCAGACAGTGGCAGCCGCTTCTGAGCATGTGTAGATGGCAGAAGCACGTACGTGAATCACGGCAAACCCAGTATTTACTTCCGGGTTTGCTGCGGTCACAAGTCGATTTGTTCGTGAGTAGGGGCGGTGGTAAGTCGAGGTTCTACTGTTTCTAAGCGGTGTACAATGAAGATACAAAAGAGATGCAAATGATAAAATTTGTTAAAATGTACTGTTAAACCAGAAAAGCTTACTTAAAATGCCTGTTGAAATCTTTAAAAGTCTTCATCAGACACCTGGTGTTCAAAAGGAAGGGGACCTGTCTAGAGGCACCAGCTTCTCAGGATTACTGAGGGGTCCCTGATGTCACGCATGGAGGCAGAGGGTGGAACCCAAAGCCCTCTGAACAATGTGGGGCCCAAAGTGCCTCCGCCCCCAGGAACTAGCACCTACGGTAGAGCTTTTCAAACTGTGTGTTGCGCGACACGTTAGTATGTCAGCTGCAGTGTGTAGGTATGTCGCACAAACGCTCCCTGCACTCCTCCTGGGGCTGGAAAGGGTTCGTTTCACTTCCAGTTTGCTAGTAAAACTGAATTACTGTGTCATGAAATGATGCAAAACTGAATTACTGTGTCTCAAAATGATGCCTGTCCAGAAAGTGTCACCAACTTGAAAAGTTTGGAAAGCTCTGACCTCTGGACCTGTGTGATCACAGCCGGGAGAGAAATCCAGAGAATTAGGCCCACAAATCTGAATACTCAGTTTCTGGTGGATGCGAGCTGTGCGTCTGACCCATGAGAGACTACTAACAGTGACTCCCCTGAATATCTCAGTGATCAGGCAGGGATATAAGGCACCAAACAGGCCTTATGATGTCCTGGACCCAAGATTTGACCTTGAACTTGGCCTGGTACCGTATGAGCAGCCCATATGATTGTGTTACTGTTGTGCTATGGTTGTTGAAGTACCACTTCCTACATTTTCTGCCACACAGGTAGTTGTCATGTGAAAGGATACAGCCTTGCAGTTGCAACCCATCCTCATTCTTTATTGCTCTCCACACTTTCCATATACCTGCCCCTTAAACACAATCTTTGGCAATATTGAGAGTAATCATTTCCAACATAGGCTAAAATTAGACAGTGTAGTGTTGTAGCCAGCAATGAAAATGGGATGTTGTTGGCAAATGTGGCTCTTTGATCAGACTGTCCGCTCCAGGAAAAAGACTGACACAGAGCAGTTCTGTATATGCAGTGTTACCCTTGCAGATAGCAGGCCCTGAAGTTCATAACAGCCAGCATTAAGAGCTGGCAGTGAAAATATGGGGGACCCAAAGAAAGAAACAAGCTGTGGATGGGGACAGGAGACCCACCAGCCCATTGTAGTTTGTCAACAGATCTCTGCACACATTGAAAACCATTTCTCACAGTCATGAGGGCTAGTAACATTCAATTTTTAAAAACATGTCTGGTTTTTACTATTGTTCAACATGGGTGCAGAGGATGGAAGCAACCCTGTTGTGACTGTGTGAACTAATGTGGCTGCTACACCCACCCAAGCCGTAATTGGGTTTGGTCTGTGTCTGCAGCATGTACTCTTTATTTGCAAACTTGCATGATGAACGTGCTTGGCAATTTCTCAGGAAGCGGATCACAGAACTATAGGCTTTAAAACATTTGGCAAGTCATATGTACCTTTTGTATTTTGGCAAGAACTCTGCACCTCGTACAATAGTTTATAAGGACCACATTCTGCTCTCAATTATTGCCAGATCCAAACCTCGTTGAAACCAAGGGAAAGACCCCTGTTTGCTTCCATGGCTGCAATGCCATTCCCCTTTGCAATCGCACACCATTACGCAAGGCTGGCCGACAGAAGAGCAGGACGTGGAGGGTTTGGCAGGTCGGCCTGGTTGCCTAAAAAGGCCTGCTTGAACCCCTGTTGAATGACGTCCATGCAAAATGTGCTGGAGTGGCTTTGCAGTAAGTGATGGACAACCTGAGTCACTTTCCCAGAAGAGAGAAGCAAACGCATAGGATTAGTTGACACCAGAGCTGAAACCTCAAGTTTCTCCCCTCCTTCCATGAAACAAATGGTTCTCTCCCACCCCCGCTTTATCTTCACAACAGCTGGGATAGTTTGGGTGGTAGAGCATGAGACTCTTGATCTCAGGGTCATGGTTCATGTCCCACGATGGACAAAGGATTCTGGCATTGTGTGGGGGTTGCACTAGATGGTTCCTTCCAACTCCACACTTCCATGATTCTAACCCTCTGAGGCAGGTTAGGCTTGAGAGATAGAGACTGGCCCAAGGTTATCAAATGGGCTTCAGGGCTCAGTGGGCAGCTGAACTGGGATCTGCTCCCATCATAGTCCAATGCTCCAACCACTGCAACCCAGCTGTGGCATGGGCCAGCCTTTAGCAGTTAAGATGGTAGATGAAGGTACTAGCAAGTTAAACTTACCAATTTTGTTTTGAACATGTTTTCCCCACCCCTGTGCGTATAAAATCTGTTTATGTGTTTATGGTGTGACCGATGTAACTTAGAAGTCAACTTGTAGTTGAAAGTTGCATTCATGTCTTTATCGATGACGCTGGGTTCAGAAGAGCATACCTGGGGATTTTTGCTCACCTTAGTGACCTTAAGGAATGCACAGCCAAACTCTGTATTCTCATCATACACTGCTCACAAATAGTCGGTTATATAACCAAGTAAGCATCACCTTAGGCTAGTCACACTTCTCTGAAGTCTCTCAGCCTCACTCACCTCACAGAGTGTTTGTTGTGGGGGAGGAAGTGAAAGGAGATGGTTAGCCACTTTTGAGACTCCTTAAGGGGAGTGAAAGGCGGAATATCAAGTCCAAACTCCTCCTCTTCCTCCTCCTCCTCCTCCTCCTCCTCCTCTTCTTCTTCTTCTTCTTCTTCCTCTTCCTCTTCCTCTTCCTCTTCTTCTTCTACAGTATAGGTTTTGGAGGTTTGCATGAGGTCATCATTTTGTACTTTGGGTGTGAGACAGAGGGAGGGGTGGTGGTACCCATAATGGTGGTTGTGGGTAGGGGGATGGGGCACTAAGGTGGAGACACTATGTGGGGAGACTCAGATTCCTACAGGCCATCCCATTAGGCAGGTACCTTGTGGAATGGCTGCTGTGCCTTCTGGCCTGCTAGTATTCTATTGGTTAACAATGAAGTCTCACGCCTCCACCTTTTGATTGTAGATGAAGGAGGTGACTTGGCATGTATTACTGAGATCTAGACGGAACTGATCTAACCCCGCTTTGCCCACATAGGTACTTGGTGCAGCACCAGTTTGTCGCCCTTCCTTTATTCAGCTTTAAAGTACAGTGGTACCACGGGTTAAGAACTTAATTTGTTCTGGAGGTCCATTCTTAACCTGAAACTGTTCTTAACCTGAGGTACCACTTTAGCTAATGGGGCCTCCTGCTGCCGCCACGCCGCTGCTGCATGATTTCTGTTCTCATCCTGAAGCCAAGTTCTTAACCCGAGGTACTATTTCTGGCTTAGCGGCGTCTGTAACCTGAAGTGTCTGTAACCCGAGATACCACAGTATCTTATTTTGGTATTGCATCGTATTGCAGTTGTAGCTCATTATACTTCCCTTGCCACATAAGACGGGAAATTTGCATGCATGGATGTTGCACTTTTCCCTGCAAGTTAAAACATGTCAATGCAACACTGGCAGCGCAGGTCAGGATTGCCAGTTTTACAAGCAAAAGCACTGGGCAAGTTGGGATGTCACAACAAACCATGGTTTATCTTGACAAGAGCGAGCAGCTGTGGGCCTTGGGTTGGTGTGTTCTGTTCCCCACCTCCTCTTCCAATGCAATCATGAGGCAGTGGTGGGAAGGTCTTGTTTCCTTTTTAGATTTCATTTTGCCTGAATCTGACAAACTGTGGTTTGAAATTAGCCTGCTTTAACAAACCACGGTTAAAAGGGTTTGGACAGCACACAAAAGTATGGTTAATTTAAAAAAAATGAAAGTTAGAGACCCCGACTCACTTTGTCTCTTTCCCATCAGTGTGCTGTAATGGTTAGCTACGGTTTGGGAGACTAGGGTCTAAATCCCCACTTGGTGACCTTGGGCTAGTCACTTCCTCTCAACCTAGCCTACCTCACAGGGTTGTTGTAGGGATTAAATGAGAAGGTGGGGAACCATGTATGCCTTGAGTTCCTTGGAGAAAAAGATGGGATGTAAATGAACGAACCATGGTTCAAACTGTTACTACCATTTGCCTCAGCTGATCACTGGACAGGGGAGTATCTAGCCCATGAAAGGCAATTCCCAAGCCCTGTGCAATGCAAGCCTGGCACCTTGGCAGTCACCTGGGGCACCTGCCACTAAATCTGGCTCTGGGCAATGGAAAATGGTATCTGGGCACAGATGTTTGTACACTGTTAAAGCTGAGCAGGTCATGTCTTAATGATGGACATTCTGCTAGTAAATAAATCAGTGAAAGCAAGACTAGCGTTTTTATTTTCCAATATCTTATTGAATCATGTTGTCCTGTGGAGAATTTTATATGCTTTTTTGAAAAGCTAACGCACTCTGGGTTATATCAGAAATACGTAAAGCAGGTCAACACAAGTAAAAGAGGATGTAGTCTGCGTTTGAAATGTGCTTTTATTTTCCTCCAGTGTCCCGGCAATGATGAAATTCTAACCCACTTTGCTGTGGTTTGTAGTAACTTCTGGCTTTGAAAGCCTGGATCTCAGTTCTGTTACCTCTTTGTAGTGCACCGAGAGATTGAGCCAGGAGGGAAACAGTTCTGGGATGAGCAAAGAATCTTGGAGCCATGAGTTAAAGCTACTCTGATCTTTAAAACCCTAACCATCCTGCCATATTCATTTGCAACACAGGAACATACGCAGCATCCCAGATGAAAAGCAGGATGCCACCAGGTCTGGTTGCAACATCAAAATTTGCAGGCTCAATGTTGGAATCCAATTTCATTCTATATATTTATATTCATATCTGCTGTATGTGATTATTTGTAACCTGTTGGGTGCAGCAATTATTTTCTGTACCATTGCCATCTTGTTTTGAGCTAGTTTTTCCTCTCAGTGAAATCCTGAAAGCCCATAACCAACAGAATGCATGTTGTCTTTTCTCGTTTGCAGGTTCTGAAAACCAAAGATCTAACATCACCTATGCAGCGCTACATTGATAGCAAGGTAGTTAAAACCAGAGCTGAAGGCGAGTGGCTATCTTTCGATGTAACTGATGCAGTACACGAGTGGCTCCACCACCGAGGTGACCATATTATCCTAAGCCTTTGATCATTTAGAGCCTGCCTATGCTAAATCTAAATAGTTTCAGGTCTGCACTGGATCTAAAGGCAATTTCCCCTTCCTTCCCTTGTGTTTTGCAGACAGGAATCTTGGATTTAAGATAAGTTTACACTGTCCATGTTGCACGTTCGTGCCTTCAAATAATTATATCATCCCAAATAAAAGTGAAGAGCTAGAGGCAAGATTTGCAGGTAATGACAAAGCATAAAAATTAAAATTGTTATGTGATAAGTAAGAGGAGTTTTTACAGTACGTGGAAAATACAAAAAACCCAGTTCATTGAAAAGATTGAGATCTGTGTGTTTATTTTGTGTGTTTATTTTGTGTGTGTGTGTGTGTGTTGGTCTCCTTCCTGAAAGAAAGCTCACCACATTTCTCCAGGGCAGCTAAGAGGGAATGCTCATGGTAACACCAAAGTTTATTGAAGCCAAATATTGTTTGGATGATAACTGGGATTCCCCAGAAGCGCGATGCAAATCCCTGACTGGCTCCACACCCAAATCCAAGTGGATTCGTCAACTGAATCAAGTGGGAGCAAGTGGATCATGGTTATTGTGTTACTAGCAAATGAGAACAAAGGAAACATTTGTGGATAGGTTGTTTTTTTTAAAAAAAACGGCAATCCACAAGAGTGTTTCAGGGTGGAATACATTGGAATTAAAAATCCATCTTGCAACAATAAAGGAACCCATAATTGATTTAACAGAAAATTACAACAAAATTGAGAAGAATCAAATTCAGTGATAATTTAAATTGCCTAAGAAAGCAAGATGAAGGGTCCCCATTCCATTGTCCATCTTAAATCAAGCCCTCACCCCTGAGTTTGCTGCTTTTGTGTGTAGTTTAATTTACGGGGTCTCAAATACAGTAATGGGATCTGGAAGAATGAGTGTGTGCTTGTGTACAGAGATTGGGTTGTTGTTTTTCCTTTAGTGATGATACCTGGGTGGGTTTCAGTATCCTGTCAAAATTTATTTCCTGTTATCTTCTAGTGCAATCTAACCCCATACAAATCAATGAGTCAGACTATTGTTTTCAGCCTTAGACTTCAGTCCTAAGCATACATATTAGTGTGTAAGTCCTATTGTGCTCAGTGGGACTGTAAGCATTCTTAGGATTGGACTGCACAGCATTTTTATCTTAGATTAGTAGAGTGTATCAGAAGTGTAGAGTTAATATTTGAGTTAAATAAATATCTAAATGCATGTTGTACTAAAATAACTGTGAAAGAAAAAAAACTTTAATATATTGTATTACAACTGACTAAATGACTAATCATGAATGCAGATGAAGTTTATCATATAGTTATCTCCTGGCATTGTTATGTGCTGAAATTGCATTTTATTTTATTTTATCTGATTGAGGGCAGAATATGTGTTCAGTTTGGATACTTCTCCAAACCACAGCTTGACAGATTAGGAACATGCCGTGGATTCACACAGCCTCCATCTTCTGTTGTACACCGGTTCCAACTTCTGTTTCTGGGTTGTTCTAACCATAGTTTGCCATGATATGCTATACCGAACCATGATTAGTGCTAACCTACAAAGCATGGTTTACAAACATATTTCAAATCATGGTTTGGGGCTCAGCATTAACCATAGTTTCTACAACTCAGACATCATACTATAGTAAAATAGAGATGAGTGTTGGTGTTTGATGAAGGAAGGCAGTGCTATAGAACTTCCTAAACAAAGGTTTGGAAGGTTGTCTCAAAGGAGCCACAGCGATCAACATAATGAGAACTTCTTATGAAATTTACATATGCATATCAGCATGTGATAAATGCTCCCACCCAATGCCAGTGCCCTCTGATTTTTTTATCTGTGGTTCGAGTTTCTTGTAAAAAGTTGGTTTATATAATTTGTTCCAGAAGAGCAGCACAATATTTATTACCAAAATGTATTTTTTAAAGGTATTGATGACTACTACACATATCCCAGTGGTGAGAAATCTTTAAAGCCCAGTAGGAAAAAAAACAGTGGGAAGACCCCACATCTTCTGCTAATGTTATTGCCCTCCTACAGAGTTGAGTCGCAACAGTCCAGTCGGCGGAGGAAGCGTGCTCTAGATGCTGCCTATTGTTTTAGGTAATTATGGATTGAGGCGTTGTCTCTGCCTGCATGCGTAGAAATAGGTTAACATTCATAGAATATAAATACAGCCCCATAATTCCATGATTCTGTTTTGGTTTTTTTTAAATGCCTCTTGCTGGGTATGAACAAAGAGCAGTAGTTGAACACCCGGGTTCTTATAGTCTCGTTACAACTGATTTAATGTAACAAAATTCAAATTTTCTTCCCAGTAAATTCCATTATCTCCTACTGGCCTTAGTTGTAATGAAAGATCACATTTACTTCCCACTACCCCACCCCCACCCCACCCCCCACAGAAAACAAAAAACCCATGCACATTGTGGCCAAGTTTAGATGTACAGTGGAACCTCAGTCTTTGAATGTAATCCGTTCCGGAAGATTGTTCAACTTCCGAAACGTTCGAAAACAGAGGATCAATGGGCGGTCAGTAAAATCCATTGAAAAAATGGGAAACACGTAGCGAAAGCCGTTCGATTTCCGAAGCACGTTCGAAAATGGAAACTATTACTTCCAGGTTTTCGTTATTCGGGTTCCAAATTGTTCAGCTTCTGAGATGCTCGAAAACCGAGGTTCCACTGTAGCAGGAAACAGTATTTCCTGGCAGTATGGAACAACCTGTGATGAGCTTTGGGCTTGCATATACATTTCTATCTCTCTTCTACTGCTGGTTTGCTCTAATAGCCCAGGATCTGAAACAACAGTTTTAACCTGATGTGTGATCACTAACCATAAGTTAAATAAACCACCGTTCCCTGAGTTCTGGTGTCATGGGAAACAAGCTAAGCTAGCCCACATCCTATGCGTACCTGCTTAGGAGAAAGTCCCACTGAGTTTGTGAGATTTTCTTTTTTAATACAGTGCACAGGAAGGCGCTGTAGTATGCCAAGAGAGTGCCCCTAAAACTTAAGTGCATAAAAAAAATATGAAAGTCTCCTGTAAGTCCCTCCACAGAGCAGGCTGTCCACTGTATCGCTGAATGATTTGCTGTTCTAGTCTTACTTCCCACCGATTAGCTTCCATTGGAGATGAATAATGCTGTCACGTTTCTGCATTGCGTTTGTTTGAATCATCCATTCACTCCTGATAGAAAGAGCAGGGATTGAAGAAGACATTGATTTCCTTTCCGACCCATGTTCATCGCACGCAGCCCCGTTTCTGTTCTCCTGCAGTTCAGTTTCTGATGTAAAGTCATCTCTTTGCCTGCTGTGGTGGGACTTTATGGAATTAATTATGCAAATAATTAATTGCTGGATTGATTCCTGGTCCAGACAAATAAGCGAACGTTGGCCATTTCCGCTCCTGTTTCCACTGCCATGAGATTGCTTCAACACCCCTGGCAGCGAGATAGATTGGAATTAACTGTTGTTGGAGGAGATTTACCCAGAGGAATGACTCATGCAGAAACACCATTGGGCAAGTTTCAGATGAACTGCCTTGTGTATTGTGATACTTGTGTATCAAAATATAGAACTCATTCAACCAAGAACAGGATCCTGGTTGGTCCAGAGTCCTCTTCCAGCCCTATGCGGGGGCCTTTTCTCACATTTACTGAGCAGGTAGCCAACTGGAAGTTACAGGGATGGCCAGCGTGCTCCCTTTGCTCATGCTTTTATCTATTTCATTAACAAAATTTATATACCACTTTCCCAACAGAAGACCTGGAAGTGACTTATACTGGACAATATAAAATATTTGTTAACAGATACTAATAAAATGTTTAAAATATGCGAGGGGGTTATTACTATTGCCGCAGGGATAGCAAACATGGCACCCTCAGATGTTGTTGGACTCTATCTCCCATCATCCCTAGCCACTGGGCAGGCTTGGTCCAACAAGATCTGGAGAGCGCTACATTGTATGTTTCTTACTATTTTGAAAGTAAAAGTTTTTTGATCTAAAAATGAAGTGTACCCCTAATTCAGAAGAAAGCATCCATTTTGAGAATCATAGTATTGTAAAGTTGGGAGGGATCCCAAGGGTCATGTGATCTAACCCCCTGCAATCTCAACAAAAGCATCCATGGCGCATGGCCACCCAAGTTTGATGGAACACTGCATAGGGCTTACAAAGAATCTGTTTGAGCTCAGCTTCTTGCTCCCCTGCCCAGTTTTGGTGGCTGTGACTGTAATAATATGCTTGTCTGCAATTGCATTTTCAGGAACGTGCAAGACAACTGCTGCCTGCGCCCATTTTATATTGACTTCAAGAGAGATCTGGGATGGAAATGGATACATGAACCTAAAGGATACCATGCAAATTTCTGTGCAGGAGCTTGTCCTTATTTATGGAGCTCAGATACTCAGCATAGTAGAGTAAGTCTCTTCCTTTGCGGGGTGGGATGGGGGTTATATTTGTTTCCTGATAGAATATTAACTCTGTATTGGGTGGGGGTGGGTGCAGAAAAGCAGGGTGTCTGATAATAAAAATAAGTTTTTCTTTGTCCTCCCCCTGCAAAAAAAAACACAACCCCTGACAGCTAGTGCATTATACTAGTGTATTATTGACACAATAAATTTCCAATACAATAAAATTTGGCGCTGCCAAAGTCTTTTAAAAATAACTGGTGCAACATGTCTAGTCTGCACACCAGCTGAACATATTTCAAACACAGGTCTGCCTTAACAGCTTTTATTTTTAAGTCCAGTTGCACAGCACACTCTCTGGCAGAATATCCTCCATCTCCCATCACATGGCCAGGGATTATGGGAATTAGAGTCTGGCAACATCTGGAGGGCCACCGGTTCCCCATCCATGCCCTAAAACAACCAGCACCTGAGCAGGGCCAGGGCGATTTCATTCCGACCTCAGTGCCTTCTCCCTGCTGAAGCAGATGCCTGAGGAGTAGTGGCAACAGTTTCCTGGGCCTGTCCTGTTCTAAAATCAGTTTAGGCCCTTCTGTAGGCCAGGTTTTGATCTTCCACACGGCCCTAATGCACTGACTCCACCCATGGAAGTCATTCTAGGGCAGGCCTGCACAACACATGGGACTTCTATGTTGCGCAGGCCTGTTCTAGGGAAAGGAATTCTCCTGGGCGGCTGTGATCAGGATTGGGTGTGTTCCATGTGCTGGCTTGTGAAAACCCAGCACAGAATCTAGGGTCTGGCACACACTTTGGCATCCCGAAAATCCTGGCTTTCGTCGCTAACACAAAAGCCAGCTTCTCTTGGTTGCAGAGAGAAAGCTTGAAAGATTTGGGGCAGCGCCTGCTTCTTTGAGGAGCTAAGGAAAGGTTGGGAAGGGTGGCTTTCGGTCTGCCCTTTGTAATTCCTCTGCCCCCAATTCTACACCTATAACCTATAACGCCCTTGCCATTTTTCCTCTGCTCTGTCCCAGTGCCACCTCAGCCCTTTCTCTCCGTCCTATCCCAGTGCCATCCTAGTCTCCTTTTTAAATGGAAACAGTCTTAATTCACTGTAAGCCCAGGTTTCAAGAGAGCAAAATCTTCACAGGACGCTGCCTCATCCAGAGTCAGACCATTGGTCTATCTATCTCAGAGTGGGGAACCTTTTACGACCAGATCCTTACCTCTGGGTGATGGAACCTGGCACCTTCTGCAGAGCACATGCTCTGTCCCTGAGCTGTGCCCCTTTCGAAACTGAAAGTGGGTATAAATGATTGTGGAATTCACTGTTAATGGAGGTTAGAACTCTCAGTGGCTTTGCGTCACAGTGGCTATATGCTGCTTTTAGTATACTCTTTTCCGAGCACAATTCAAAGTGTTGGTGCTGACCTTTTAAAGCCCTAAACAGCCCCGGTCCAGTATATCTGAAGGAGCGTCTCCACCCCCATCGTTCTACCCGGACACTGAGGTCCAGTGCCGAGGGTCTTCTGGCAGTACCCTCACTGCGAGAAGCCAAGTTACAGGGAACCAGGCAGAGGGCCTTCTTGGTAGTGGCACCCGCCCTGTGGAACACCCTCCCACCAGATGTCAAAGAGAAGAACAACTACCAGACTTTTAGAAGACATCTGAAGGCAACCCTGTTTAGGGAAGCTTTTAATGTTTAACAGACCACTGTATTTTAATACTTTGTTGGAAGCCGTCCAGAGCGGCTGTGGAAACCCAGCCAGATGAGCGGGGTATAAATAAATTACTACTACTACTACTACTACTACTACATTGAAAGCTGTTGGATGGCAGCTATGGGAGAGGGCGGTTGGCCCCGTGTCTTGCCTGTGGTCTTCCCAGAAGCAACTGGTTGTCTACTATGAATGAATGTGAATCGATTAATTACGGTCCACTAAGGAAACAGGATCCTGGGTTTGGTCTTTGGTCTGATCCAGCATCCCAGTTCTTCATGTTTGTAAAACCAAGCTGAAATCCATGGAACCTATGAAATGTGTTGCTGAGCATCTGGAGGAAATGCCTTCATCTCTCTTTCCTCTCTTTCCAGGTTCTCAGCTTGTATAACACTATCAACCCAGAAGCCTCTGCATCTCCATGCTGTGTATCCCAAGATTTGGAGCCCCTCACCATCTTGTATTACATTGGAAAAACGCCCAAAATCGAACAACTTTCTAACATGATCGTAAAGTCTTGCAAATGCAGCTAAGGGATATTCTGAAGCAGCACGGCAAGTGCATTGGAAAAGAAAGGAAGAAAACAAAACATAAGAAGAAGAAGAAGAAATGTAAAGAACACATAGGGTCAAGCAGTGATTTAAAAAAAAAAACCAAAGGAGAAAAAAAAAAGCGGTACTAGTCCAAATCGTATGAGAGTTTGTTTCATTGTTTTGCGTTTTGTTTTCAAAAAAAAAACCACACACCATCATCTGAAGCAAAAACCGTGAAGGCCTTATCTTACATTTCAACTACTTGGTTAGTGAGATAGACAAGAAGGAATTTTCTTTTTTAAAAAAAAAAAAGCAAAAAAAAAAACTAACAAGAAAGAAAAGAAAATGACAAAAAAAAACCTTTTAAAAAAATAAACACTGGAAGAATTTGATAGAGTTCTTATGTGAAAGGAAAAAAACAGGAAAAATATCCCATTCAGTGGAGTTGCTGTATCTGTTCCGTGGCTTACTTGACCTCCGTGTTACGCCATAGATTCTCTACCCATTCCCTGTAGTTCTTAGGAATTAACAGCGCATTATTTATTTTTGTGTTATATGATCAAATGAGGGAGCATGTCATTACCATTGGGGAGGGGTGGGGGGAACGAGGGAGCAAAAAAACAAACAAAAAACGAGCAGACCAAATAAACTGCAAGAAACCTGGTTTCATTCCTTAGGAACCTGAGCTCAAAAAAATAGATTTTTTTTTTTAAAAAACCTGCAAACCATGATTTGTTTAGCTCAGTTAAAACAGTAGTTCGCTATTTTTCAGGAAGTCTGCCTTAAAAAGAAAAAGCCACATACACCGTTGTTTTTCTTGCCGAGAGCCTATGCAAAGCCTCACACCATTTGTTTTTATACTGAAAACCTTAACAATAAAGGACATTTTTGTTTCAGTCTCAAAGACAAGTCTATTAAGATTCTTTTAAACATGCAAACATACCACCACCAGTGACTGTAAATGAACTAAACCGTCAGTTTAGTAAACCAGTGAAATATTTAACATGTACTGGTCTAATCTTCAGACCCTAATATGTTGCTGTATAGCTATTGCTTTGGGATTGTTTGTCTGTTTTATTTGTGTGCACGCGGGATTTTCTTTTGTTTTTTTGTTTTGTATATGTAACCGTACCTATAGTATTACAATAGGTGGGTAGTAAGAAGCCAGCTTAATTGGAAACATATCTGTAGATTTCTATTGTAAACTATTAAAAAATTAAGTACTTTATGTGTAACGTGTAAATTTTCACCATATTTTTGTATTCTGTTAATACTGTCAACTCTGAAGAGTTTTAACTTAGGGGCTCTTGTTGATCACTTGGAATTGTGTGTTTCCCTCTAGCTGGCCAGTATGAGTGAAGCCCCTGATTTTTTGTCCCCCCCCCCCCAACTTGCACTACAAATACATGTTTTGTAATATTTGCTATACATGAGCTTTGTATGTTGTTTTTCATCCTGACGATATAAGCTACCTGACTCCAATTTCATTCTGTTTCAGAAGAAGAAAATAAGGTAGAGTAAAAACAAAGCAAACAAAAGGCAAGGCAAACTCCCACCCCCCCTTAGTCATACATTTGAAAATGGGAGGCTTCAAAATGCTGAAGTTTAAAATCTCTCTTTGGGTGCTGGAGCAGAAGGCAATTTTCTCTTTTTTCCCAGATGGCAAGGACAACACAAAAGCAAAGACTTCTGCACTTCTGGACTTATCATTGATCAGCTTGTATAAGCCATTCATTGGCCTGATCAAGTTGTGGTCACCCGTAGTTTGTCAAAGGGCACATCCAGCCACTTCAGATTAGCATTGCGGTGGTGCTGGGGGACTGCATGAGACTGTGTATATGCATCAGCAATATGCAGGGGGAAAGGCCACTTACACGTGCAGCCTCACTTCTTCCACTTAGGGGGATTGGTTAGTTTCTGTTCTGTTTAATTCCATAACGGGGTATCGGAGTCAGTTCAGCCGCAGTCAAAATGAAAAGAGGAAAGTCACACGCTACACCCCCATTCTGATATAGCAGGCGCAGGGGTTTGGATCTTGGCTCTGCTGTAGCACCCACTGGGTGACCTTGCGCTAGTCGCCTTTTCTCAGCCTAGCCTACCTCACAGAGTGGTTGCAAGGATATGACAGGCATGTGTCCTGCCTTGAGCTCCTGGGAGGAAAAAGCATTCTGTTTTGCAATCCCAGACAGTCCTGTATTTGAAGGGCTGCTGGAATAGGCTTCTATTTGAAGGAGTCCTCTGTTGAGCTTGTCTAGGCCAAGCCTGGCTTAAAGATAAAAACAGGAAGAAAGACTCAGGGCCATAAAGATGCCCAGTAACTGTTAGCAGCTGAGTGCAGGGTTCTACACATTGGCAATATGTATTGTATGTCTATTTAAATTAGAAATTATTTCCAAATTTTGCATCGCGACATAAATTAACACATGCAAAGTCCATGCAAATCTCTTGTCTTTTTTTGTGATGTGTGGGTTAAACCACAGAGCCTAGGACTTGCTGATCAGAAGGTCGGCAGTTCGAATCCCCGCGACGGGATGAGCTCCCGTTGTTCATCCCAGCTCCTGCCAACCTAGCAGTTTGAAAGCACGTCAAAGTGCAAGTAGATAAATAGGTACCACTCTGGCAGGAAGTAAACGGCGTTTCTGTGCGCTGCTCTGGTTCTCTGGAAGCGGCTTAGTCCTGCTGGCCACATGACCTGGAAGCTGAACACCAGCTCCCTTGGCCAATAAAGCGAGATGAGCGCGCAACCCCAGAGTCAGTCATGACTGGACCTAACGGTCAGGGGTCCCTTTACCTTTACCTTTAAGTGGCCAACTTAGCTGCTGGATGGGGAAGGAGAAGTGTCTAGCTTGCCTGGGAAGATTTCAGGTTTGTTTTTAAAGGAAAGGTTTGCAGCTGGTTCAAATGGAATGGCATTTGTACCGCACAGTTGTGCTCACACTTCTCCACATAGCCCAAACCTGCTTCCCTGCACATGCAGCCTAGCTAGGTTTGCACATCACATGCCAAAGTCTTTAGTCCTAAATGATCCAGGGTGCGTTTAAAAAATCACAATAGTGCCTTTAAATTGATACGGTCAAGGGTTTGTTCGGTTTCAAGATTGAGGTTTGATTCATACTTTCAGGAAGGTTTGAGTTTGAGGGGAACACAAGCCATGCATATGGGGGTTCACAATGAGGTAAATAAATTCAGCCACAGGGATCATTAGTTGTATGGTTGTATGGCTATTAAAATAATCCATATTAAATTCACATCATTTTAACTCTGAATTTAAGTAAATAACATTCAGTTTGTTTAAACTGTAACTAGTAGTGCAATCCTACATATGTTTACTTGGGAGTAAGTCCCACTGTGTTGGGTTGGGCCTACACAGCCACAGTGGGAACACGGCCTTAATTGTTTTTATCTGACCCAAGTGCCAAAGTGCTTTCCCCCAAGGCTACATAAATTACATTTTGACAGCCAACTTGAGGGCTACAGACTCAGTCCCTTCAAAAGGACAAAATCTACCTGTAGGACAGTCATTTGAACCCAGGGTTATTATTGTTCAGCTTTGCCTATCTTATCTGGAGATGATGAACATTTGTTTTCAAAGTTGTTGTCCGCAAATGACCAGTTTCTCAAATGATTTATAGGATCAGGCCTTCCATCTGTGCATTTTTATTTTGTCTTACATAATTTATTCATTGCTTCCCCTGATAACGCCTTTCTCTTTTTCTTCATTAAAGTGCAAAAGGAACCACACAAAAGCTCCTTTTTGTTCAAATTATTTTATTCTATTTTGAAAGTAGTACATTGGCTTCCATCAAATGCATTCTGTTCCTTCTTTTAGGAAGACACGTGAACAAATGTTGGCTTTCATATGTGATTTCTGACCATTCCAAATGGATTCAGTCAGTGTCCAAATCTGTCTTCACAGTACAATCCTCTGTATGTTTACTCAGAAACAAGTCGCACTGCATTCAGTTAGGCTCGCTCTCAGGTTAGTGTGCCTAGTCCGTATTTACTTGGGAGTAAGCCCAATTGAACAAAATGGAACTTACCTCTTAAAAGACATGAATAAAACTACATTCCTTTTTTAGGCTTTGTCAACACCAACCAACTTTCAGACATTCACTATTACAGTGGTACCTCTGGTTACGTACTTAATTCGTTCCGGAGGTCTGTTCTTAACCTGAAACTGTTCTTACCCTGAAGCACCACTTTAGCTAATGGGGTCTCCCGCTGCCGCTGCACCGCCGGAGCACGATTTCTGTTCTCATCCTGAAGCAAAGTTCTTAACCCGAGGTACTATTTCTGGGTTAGCGGAGTCTGTAACCTGAAGCGTATGTAACCCGAGGTACCACTGTACATTAATGATTTGAATGGTTCTGCATTAGCGTCTATAGGAATATGATAATGAAATGAAGATGTCATTTCCCTCTAAGAAAACAGTCCAGAAATAGGACTTCCGAATATTTTATTTGGAGATGGGGATTTGGTTGGGGTGTGATATATTAAGCGGGTACATTAGCCATACTCTAACTTTCTCACAATAGAGGATTATTTGCACTGGGCCAAATCATGATATATGCTGAATCGGTTCATGAAACACTGAAACAGAGGTACAAATAAGTCCTCTTCCCAAGAACCACTCACGTTGAAGCCATGTTCGCATGCTGAAGCCACACCAACTAGCCCTGCCCCCAGTATCCTGCATGCTGACTTGACTGCTCTTGGCATCCCTAGCACAGCATGAGCACCAGGAAATCGGGGAGGAGTCGCTTGGCATTACTCCACTCGCACATTGATTCAATGTGTGGGTAGTTCTTGTGAAGAGGGATGTTGTTGCAATAAGAATGACTGGAAACTGAAACAAGTTTTCCAGAATAATGGCCACACTCTCGTTCTCCGGAGGCTCGTAAGCTTTGGATCAAATGTTACAGCTCTTGTGCGGAGACTGCCAAAAAATGGCTCGAGAAACGTTGCACTCCATGCCGGCTGTGATGTTTTGAAAGCTGCTTTCCTCATGGTTCAACCAAATAATGTGTAAATGCTGAGAATCAACACTGTGAGTTGGCAGCCGCAGAGGCTGATGTGGAAGCTCTTCACATTCCTCAGGACAACCTTTTGAAAAGCGGTTTCCAACTGTGATGGCTGCCATGTGGATTCCCACACTCTCCACATGGAGCTGGAGGTCTAAGTACAAAATCCCCAAGAGAAGACCAGACGGACATTTCTATTCCAACTCTAGTCTTGGCAGTAACTCTTACTGAAGTCAGTGCAGGTTACCTGGAATAGGTATCTAATAGCTCAGTTTCATATGAAGCCTGTTTCTAGCAACAGGGTTAAATTCCACAAAAAAAGGTTTATTACTACAGATATTTGGATTGTCACATTATATCAGTGGATATAACTGAGATATTTGAGGTAGCTTGGTCGTTCTGTCTTGGATGTTCTCCATATAGAAAAGGTCTGTCGGATTCTGTAATGCTTTATTTTCAAGGACTGGCACAGAAGTACAGTGGTACCTCAGTTTTCGAATGTCTCCATTGACGAACGTTTCAGAACTCGAACGCCGTAAACCTGAAAGTAAATGCTTCTGTTTTCGAACGCGCTTCGGAAGTCAAATGGCTTCCGCTGAGGTACCACTGTATTTTTCTCAATTTTCTCTATTAAATTTGCGGACCACCCTTTGCACCTCGGTTTTTTAAAGTTTCAGAACTCGAACGGTCTTCCAGAATGGATTACATTCGAAAATTGAGGTACCACTGTATGTAATCAAAACCATTTGGATCCTTTTAAATTTGAGAGATTTCTGCCTACAGCTGAGATGGGGTCCCTGAGGCCCTGCAGCCATTTCTGAGGGCTTCAACTCCCATCAGCTCCAGTCAGCACTGCCAGTGGAGAAGGGTATTGGGAGTTGTAGTCCAGCAATATCTGGAGGGTCACAGGATAGCTCCACCCCCTCCTGGTCTGTTGACATGGATACAATGGAATCTCGGCTCCTATGCCATTAAAGAAAAGTTTAAACAAGTTGCACTTCAACCTCTGTATCTCCAATTAACATACGTATGATTCTCAGACTGAAGCAGGACATGAGATTCTGAACTGGGTATGAATTTGCTTTCTCTTGTGAAAATGGATTTATGTGGAAGGCCAGTCTCAATGGGACCAAAATGTGGTCCCACAGAAGTCCATAGCCATTCTGACATCTCACTGCTCATGAAGGATATATGTGCATTTTTTCCTAAGTGACCCAAACAGCAAAATATACTACTGTAGTCCAGGCTTCCTCAAACTTGGCCCTCCAGATGTTTTTGGCCTACAACCCCCATGATCCCTAGCTAGCAGGACCAGTGGTCAGGGATGATGGGAACTGTAGTCTCAAAACATCTGGAGGGCTGAGTTTGAGGAAGCCTGCTATAGTCCATAGTGTACTACCATGAATAGATGAGTTTAGATTTTTTTGGGGGGGGGGTTTCACAGGTTTACATTATGCCTTGAGCGGAATCCCCTTTATTTAGTTTAAAACCAAAATGAAAACGATTTGCTGAAGTAGAGATAAGGAGAATAAACCTTTCTGAAGCAATCAAAGCTTGCATATTTTTGCTATTCTTTTCCAATTCCGAAAAGCAAGAAGCTAATTGTGCTTTGCTGGGAATGGATTTCTGGCATGACTTAACAACTGATTAAAAAAAATTGATGAGTGTCATAATTTAAAATGGAAAATCAAATATCAGAATAATGGCAATGGATGTTTTAGGCAAGAAACAGGACTTGATTCTGGATTCATTGCTAGCACAGCTGCTTTTTAACTGGGAATGCAGAATGTGCATGGTTACACACTGACACTTGGCAATCCCCTCTCCCTGGCACTGTAACGTTGGAAATGTAATGTGATTATTGCCCATCACTTGCACTTGACCCCAGTGTACAAAGTGCTTCTTAATTACAGGAAACAGTCAGTGTGGAGAGAGCCAGTGTGGTGTAACGGTTAGAGTATTGAACTAGGACCTAGGAGACCAGGGTTCAAACCCTAACTCAACCATGAAGCTTTCTGCCCTTGGGCCCGCCACAGCCTCTCAGCCTAACCTACCTGTCAGGGAACTGACATCGGAGCTAGAGGCGGGGGGAAGGCTCTCAAATGATGCTGGAGAAGGGCCCAGCAGGGAGAGAGGCAGCTCCGCAGATGGGGAAGCAAATCAGCGCAACACCAGGGATAAAGCGGGGCAGATGGGGGAATCAGCGAGAGGGCTCCAGGACTCTTCACCGGACACCAGCAGGGAGAGCACGGGTCCTCCGCTACCCACGCCCTCCCTGCGCAGAAGACTTCCGCGCAGGGAGAGTAGGAGGAGACTTGGCGTCAAACAACTTTTATGTTGGAAAAGGTTTAAGAAACACCCACTGACGGATTCTGCTAGCGACTGAGGCAGCCACGAAGTGAAGGGCTGTCCAGACAGAAAGGTTTAACAAGGCAACATAGCCAGGAGGGGCAGCAACTTACGCACGAGCAACCCATACTCATTACACTACCTCACAGGGATGTTGTGAGAATTAAATGAAGACGGGGAGAACCAGGTATGCCATCTTGAGCTCTCTTTGGAGAAAATGTGGGATGTAAATTCAATAAATAAATAAGGCATGTTTCAGTTACCATACAGTATTCCACAACTCTATACTTACTGCTGGGGTCAGCTACAGAGCAGAATAATAAAATTATTTTCCACCTTCTCATGAACCACATTATTTTGAGAGAGAGTTCTGCAATCTGGGCGACAGTGCCAAGAAGGTCTGCTCTCATGTCTTCATTGAGCACATATCCTAAGGTGGTTGGAAGCAGAGGACAGATGTTGAACATAGTGCACAAAGAAGTTGATGCAGGAGATGGTGTTCTAAGTGAGCACTTCTTGTATCCTGTCCTTCCTTCAAGAATAGCAGGCAATGTACATGGGGGCTTCGATTTGCCTTCCCAAAGGTTAGTTAGTTTGAGAGCCCACAATTAACTCAGTGAGTTTCATAATTTTGTTGGGATCATAGCCAGACATCATAGCCAGACACTGGAGAGACCTGTCAGGAGTAAGCATGGAGTGGACCAATGGTACCAAGTAATATGCGAAACAGCCTTATTAGAAAAACTAACTAATAAACTGAAAATGACACAGGGACAAATAGAAGAAGATGCCTTCACCCCGGTATGGCTCCCCTTTATCACATATACAGCCCAACAAGACAACGACAAGAATCCACCAACAGCATATGAATCAATATGGCTAACCTGATTCAAAAACACCCACCCACCCCACTCACACATGAAAACAAAGTTCACCACAGTCAATCACCACACCCTAGGCCAACCGCAACTTCTCTCACCACCAAAGGAACACAAGCGAATAGGAAAGAGAACCTGCACAAGCGATGCTGACACAAAACCCCACACAAAATGTAACACTAATGTCTCAACAAATGAAACTGATATGTAGAAAATGTAACTTGAAAAAAGAGACATTGCACATACTTCTGTAAACCAAGAAATCTTTAATCAAAAATATGTATAATAATAATAATAATAATAATAATAATAATTGTGTTGGGATCAGTGATGTAGTGGTCATTGGTTATGTGAGGTCACAATTCCTTACTATTTCTGCAGGAGGGACCCTCTCCCAGCATTCTAGGGGCATCCAATCAGCATTTAAAGAGGAGCTTTATACTCAAAAACTTAGCATATAGGAACACCAAAAACACGAGGTGCTTCAGTTTCAAGACA